TTATCTCTTTACCCTCTTTTATTGTGATTTAAATTTGCCATTTTTGTTGGGAATTTGTTTTCATTTTTAATGGCCATTTCCCCTCTCACTATTAGTGAGAAAATAGCTTTGCGTCTGTCTTGTTTATTAATTCAACACCAAGATTTCAGACCCTGATTTGTTACATAGGCAGTTTTAGTACACTGACTGAAGGAAGGCTTTTATTACAAACATAAATAATCTGGTAATAAGGTTAAACCAGCACTTAAAATGACTTGTACTGTGGTATGTTATTTCATTTTGTTTACGGTGCTAAGGAGTAAATCAGAGACTCACATGTACTGGGTAAGCACACTTACAGTTAGCTACAGGCCTTAATTTAGTCTATTATTTTGTTTATTTATGTATGTGTGTGCGCACATATGCATGCCAGTACTGGGACTTGAACTCAAGATCTAGGAGCTATCCCTGAGCTTTTTTGCTGAAGGCTAGTGTTCTCCTACTTTGAGCCACAGCTCCACTTCTGGTTTGGGGGTGATTAATTAGAGAAAAGAATCGCATACCCTTTTCTGCCTAGGCTGGCTTCAAACCATGATCCTCAGATCTCAGCCTCCTGAGTAGCTGGGTTTTTGCTCAAGGCCAGCACTCTACCACTTAAGCCTTACCTCCAATTCAGGCTTTTTTGCTAGTTAATTAGAGATCAGAGTCTCATGGGCTTTTCTGCCCAAGCTTGTTTTGAACCTTGTCCTCAGATTTCAGTCTTCTGAATAGCTAGAGTTAACAGAAATGAGTCACTGATGCTTGGCCTATCCTGGGGCTTGAACTCAGAGCCTGGGCACTGTCCACTAGTTTTCTTTGCTGAAGGCTAGAGCTTACCACTTGAGTGGCTTTTTGTTTTGTTTTGTTTTTGTTTTTTGTTATTTGGAGATTAGTCTCCCAGGCTTTTACTACCAAATATAATTTTTAAATAGATTCTCTGTCATTTCAGAGAGAAAACCCATGTTCTGTTTAAAGTACTAAAAAGTAGTAAAGAGTGTGTAGAAATATTAACTATTTCGGGCTTGGAAGGTGGCTCAGTGGTAGAGCGCTTGGCTTGCATGCATGACGCCCTGGGTTTGATTCCTCAGGACCACATAAGCAAAAAGAAAAAAGCCGGAAGTGGCACAGGTGGTAGAGCATTAACCTTGTGCTGAAGAGCTGAGGGACAGTGCCCAGGCCCAGAGTTCAGGCCCCACGACCGGATCTCCCCCCAAAAAAGTAACCATTTCACCTGTTATTGGGTTAGAAGCATGAATCGCTTAGTGTCTTGTTGACATTTTACTCTATCAGTTTAGATGGATTTCTTCTCATTTGGTTGTTAAGGTACACCCAAGTATGTGGCAACAAATTTTTAACTTATGACTTATGATGTTTCTTCCTTTTTTAAAAATTGAATTCAGGGCCTTAGCTTTCTAGGCAGGCACTCTATCATGTAAGCCAGTCCTCCCAGTGTTGTTATTAATATTTTTCCAGGACTGAGCTCGAGCTCACTATTCTCCTGTCGTTAATTCCCATAAGCTAGAATTATTAGTATGCATTGCTACACCTAAAAGGCTTCATTTTGCACAAATGTCGTACTCCATATGCATACTAAGAAATTTACTATATGAATTAGATTCTGCATTAGTTGTAATATTAATTGTAATGAATATGATTTATAATTACTTGTAATTATAATTAATGTTACAATTAACTGTAATATGAGCTTATTTTCTTCTTAGGAAACTACCCATGCTGTTTCTTTCTAGGGTGTCAGCTGTCAGTAGCTGCTGTTTATCCATTGCATTTATATTCATCTCTGACTCTTGTGGAGTGGTAAAAAGATAAGATTTGATTGTACTTCTATTCACCTGACCTAGGCTGAGTTCAAAAGACTGAAGAGCAGTGACTCAAGGCTTAGCCAAGGGAGAGCAGCCTGTGAGCAAGTCACACAGAAAATCAGATGTTGACTATGAAGCCCTAAGTGCAAGACTTTGATCCCAGAAAGTTTGTTAGATCTCTGGAAAGGAATTCATGGCTCTAATTTTAGCAGTCATAGTGGAAAGCATGTCAGTGGTCAACTATAGCAAATGTATTACTGAGGGATTGGGAACTCTAGAGTGAGAAGAAAAGGACAATTTAGGAGATTTGGATTTGTTCTGACATATTAAGGGAGGAATAATAGAAATAGGATCAGAAATTGTACAGGCTGCTCTTAAGAGTAGCAAGTCCTTAACCTAAATTTGACAAATATTGTTTGTGATACTTTGCTTTAACCACAGAAATAAGATACTTAAAAGACCAATATTTGACAACTGTATTTAAATTGTTTGCTATAAAATAAAATCTGTCTACTCAAAAAAAAAAGAGTGGCAAGTCTTAAGTTCTCTCATAGTGGGATTTACATAGATTTATTTTTTGCTCATCTAGAAATAAGCTTATCAAGGTAGCATCAGAAAATGCCACCTTCTTCCTTTTCAAAGAATACTTGAGAATTTTTATAAATTTGCTTGGCTTAGCATGCACTTGCTCTTAGTAGTATTTTTATGTTTAGTATTTAGCAATATTTTCATACTAAAGGTAAGATGAAGCTTATAAAACTCATAATATTCAATCATTTTGACCTTTAAAGCACAAATTTCATAAGATTTAAATTTATTATGACAACAGTACTTAATATTTCACAATTTTATTGTTTTATGTGGTTTATAATAAGTGCACTTTTTGGTAATATTTTAAAATTATACATCACATTATAATTTTAGGTAAACAACTTTACAATGAAGATTTTTATATAATGCTACTTGGTAGGCAATTTTAACAATGTCTTATTATCAGCACCGTTTTAAAATTACATTATGAAAAGCATTATTTATGGATAGATTTTTAATTGATTAAATTTTCTGTTTGTATTTAGCACTAGGGTATGAATGAAGGCCTTATTACATATTTGGCAAGTGTTCTACCATTAAGCTTCAGCCTCAAACATGATTGAAAGTTTTCACTGCTGTGGAAGTGGGGGTGTGGGTCAAGTGGTAGAATACGTCTCAAATGGAAAAAGCCAAGCAAGAATGTGAGGCATTGAGTTTAACCTCCACAGCAATGTGTGTGTGTGTGCGCACACACGCACGCACACACACACACACACACACACACACACAGTTTTCAGTGGCAATATATCATGTTAGTCAGGAAAAATGAATATTAAAATATCAATATGTATTTGAATGTTACTGCAAGTTATACCCTTAAGAGCAAACAAAAGCAATTTTCATAATAAGCTTGTGTTTGACATGGCTGCAATTCATATTTCCAATCTCAGCCAAATTATTTTTTTGATATTCATGGTTATAATAAATAAGGAATGAAATGGAAGTTTATCTGTAACTATTTCTTTACCAATAGCACATTCCACAGTTCAGAGGAGAAAGCTGACTTTCTTTCTATAGCAATCTGCAAGCTGTAGAAAGTGTGACAGTTTACCTTGTTTATAATATGTATAGAGACTGCATATATTAACTTTATCTAAATGTCTTCCAAGAAGTTTTTGCTTTCCTCTTGGAAAGTACTAAAGCAATAACTATTCTCTTCCTCCAAATCAGTATCCTAATAATTGTTTCTCTGTTTCTTCTTTAGTCTATCTACCTACTTACCACTAAGCAAATACTATTTGTCAATAGCTGTTCATGGGTGTAATCATAGAAAATTTGGAATGCTCAAATGGATGTGATAAAGTTGAGACTTAGCTGAAGGGTTTAAATGCTTTCCAGACAGACTACCTCTTTACAAATACATGAAATGTCAACAACAGAAAATGACTTCATACTACCAATGGTGATTTGTATGTCATTTGTTTTATTGAGTTGCTGATGTTCCTTGCTTCAGAAAGGGTGAATGTTTTGAAAATAAATGTACTGAATCTCATGATAAATAAATATTTATTAGTCTGATTTTCTCAGAGCTTCAGGTAAGGACATAAAGAAGGGTAAGAGGTGTTCTAAGATAGAAATGGTTAGGGGAAGAGTAGGGAGGTGGAGACACAAAACTGACCACGTTAAACAGGATAAATAAACTTAGGGATCATTATAGTGGTAAAAATTTATTCCAGTACTCAGGAGGCTTAGGCAGAAAGATCTTATGTTTAGGCTAGTCTGAGCTACATTTACAAAAGCCTATCTCAAAAGCAAGAAATCAGGAAAGGAAGAAAAAGGAGAAAAAGAAAGAGAAAAAGAAAGAAAGAAAGAAAGAAAGAAAGAAAGAAAGAAAGAAAGAAAGAAAGAAAGAAAGAAAGAAAGAAAGGAAGGAAGAAAGAAAGAAGGAAGGAAGGAGAAAGAAAGAAACAAAGAAACAGAAAGAAGGAAGGAAGGGAGAGAGAGATGGAGGGAGGAAGGAAGGAAGGAAGGAGAAAAAGAAAGAAAGAAAGAAAGAAGAAAGAAAGAGAGAAAGAAAGAAAGAAAGAAAGGAAAAAGAGAGAAAGAGGGAGGAAGGAAGGAGGGAGGGAGGGACAGAAGGAAGGAAGGAAGGAAAGGAAGCAAGCAAGCAGGAAAGCAAGAAAGCAAGCAGGAAGGAAATGAAAGAAGGAAGGAAGGAAAGGAGAAAGGAAGGACAGGAAATAAAAGAAAGAAGATTAAATTCATAAAATCAATGTTTTGAGCGGAATTACCTTGTGGGAGTTGCAATGTACTGGAGCATTTATCCATGAGACTTCTCCTATTGGCTCAGGGCTTCTGAGTCTTACACAATTGACAATTGTGGAGTAAGAGAAAATAAAAAAAGGACAAAATTGATTGGTGGGGCCAGGGGTATTCTAACAGATTTAACCTTTGTATTAGAGGTGAAAGAAAATGTCACATTATACAATAGATTTCATGTGGTGTTTTGTAGAACCAACTCTGTAATGGCTGAAAGAATTTTTTGTTGTTGTTGTTGATTTATCTTCACTGTAGAATTTAACTGAACACTGGTGCTTGCCAATGCTAATGTTCTTTGCACTGTTTTCACAGCTTCATCTCTTCATTTGTATCCCAGCTTTAGAAATCAAAGAAAGAACAAAAGACATGCTTTGACTTTAATACTCTTCACTTATTTTTTATTGTCTTTTGAGGTTCAGTTATTACCCATTTGAAAGGTAAAATCATTATTATGTTTCTTAATTTCTGAAACATATGTGATGGCTTCTAGGGCTCATTTTGGGCTCAGGATGTGCCGCTTACAAGCATGCTTACCAAGCATTTTGGCTCTAGCATATTCCTTCTCTTAGCTGTGTATATATAAACTACGTACATCTGGAGATCTATAGTAAGAACTGAGATTACCAGAGATTACTACATAAACCTAAAGTCTCTCTCTCTGTCTCTCTGTCCCTCTGTCTCTCTCAACAGTTGAAAATAGGTTAATGAAAAAATAAGGTACTTTTAAAAAATAAAATGAAAAACTTTCCCAAGCTTAAGGAAACATCAGATTAATAATTTGGATTCCAATTTCTTTGGCAGTTGTTTTGGTTGGTACTGGAGCAATTTCTCTGTCTCAGTGGACTCTAAACCTCAATGCTCAGATGTCTGAGTCTCTAAGATTATAGGTGTGAGTGACTGGAACCTAATCCAACTGGAAAAAATTGACTATTGGCAAGATAATGACCTGAATATGATGATTTTTTAATTGTAAAGCCTAACAGGAACATATGTAATTGAGGGTTTATTGTTGCAGTTGCTGCCTGAGGGAAGTAAGCAATCTGTCCACTACTTCTCCAAACACTAAGCTTATATCATTTTTCCCCTGGCATTGGGCTTTTAATTCAGGGTTTTAGTCACTTTATAACTTAAGTCATGCCTCCAGCCCTTTTTGCTGCTCTGTTTATTTTTGAGATAGGATTAGACTTTTAGTGGACTGTCTTCTGCTTTTTATGGCTTCTGCTGTACCTGGATGACAGGCCGGCACTACCATCCCCAGCTTGTAATTGGTTGACAAGCCCAGCCTATCCTTAAATCATGATTCTTTTGATTGCAGCCTCTGTAATAGCTAGAATTACATGTGTGAGATTCTGATGCCTGGCCAAATTTCAATCTTTGAATGATCAGTGGTGTTACAAAAGCACATACCAGTGAACTGATACCACTCATCAGATTTAAGTAAAATACAAAGGAATAAGATTTTGTTCTTAAAATGTGAAAATTCTCCAGTTTATACTAAAAAGCCATTTTCTTATTCTCTTCACCGGTATGTTACCCATTAAATGGAGAGAACTTCATATTCCAAAAGGCTGAGAAAGATTAGACTAGATTATTTAGCTCTATTACAAGTAAGCGCACACTTGACTGAGAAATCAAGTGGAGGAAGAAGTGGCTATGAAGTCCTTTCTGTTTCCTGGTACTATGTCAGGGATCCCAGCCCTTTCCTATACTAAGGCTCTGTCTCAAATGTCAGCAATGACCAGCTAAGCTGTGCAGACCCAGAGGAGATTTGACTGGTATAGCATATGATTTCCATATTCTCAGTTCCCCTTACAGCACAGAATTTTTATATTGTTTAATCTGATACTGTTTAAACAACAATTAAACAGGATTTCAGGGTAGAACAGTATCTTCAAAATTGCAATCAATTTAAATGCTCTTCATTTATTTATTTGAGGAAGTTGATACATATGGAGGTTAAATACACTTTGCCCACATCATACAATTAATAGTAAAGCCAAGACTAGAAATGAGTTTCTGGCATCTAATGACTTGGGTAGAATGGACAAGATCTATCATTTTTGGAGTAATGGGAAGTGCTGTGTTAGTGGAGAACTCTTAGTAAGGAGGGCGGAGGGACTGGGAACAGGGTGATGTGCTTCTGTCTTTGCTCAACTAGCCTCAAACAAGTGTGCAGAACCTAGGCCAAAAGAATACTCTATCACCAACACTGTTTAGAATTGTGGGCACATGGTTATTATTGTTTTAAGTTCTCTATATATAATGAACCCAGAAATAAGTCCTACTATCATGCCATCTGTATGCCATAGATGGAAAGAAATCCATAAGGTTTAGTTAAATTCAAATACAATAGATTCAGAGCTTACTTTTTAGAGAACATAACAGAGGAGTTAGGATGGGGGTATGGATTTGGGCTTTGAGCAGGTATCTGCTTCTCTAATGTAATATTTATCATTTGAGTTCAAATTTTAGCTTAGGATTTTTAAGGCTATTCTAATCTGAAAGAATAAATATTTTTCATTTCAGAAGCTCATCTTTCTGGAAATGTACTCTTGGACTTGACTAGATAAATGCTATTTTTTTTAATTTGGCCTCTATTGATTTATTTAATGTTTGTTACTTTGGATATAAAAGCAGATTTTGTCAAGTCAGATGATTCAATTTGACAGAATAAGTCCTTAGCCAAACAAACTATGCCCAACGACAATCCACTTTAAAGTTTACAGAAGCTCAGTTCTGTGTCAATTGAAATGAGAACTTAGCTAAGAGTCCCAGAAGACTGCTGATTGGCTGAGGAGTGGCAAACAGGATATATAAAAGGCTGCCGTGGAACATCTGGGAAGTTCAATGTTACCGTTTTAAAGTCAACCTGCTTGCTCCCAACACAGTGTCTCTTCACCATGAGTGGGTGTCCGTTTTTAGGAAACAGCTTTGGGTGAGTATTTACCTGTCTTCTAATGGAGTTAGGCTCTTCAAAGTGCACAAAACAAACATGTTCATGTATGAGATTAAAGAGTATTCAGCCCTGCCACATTCATGCCCTTCATTAATAAACTAAACAAAATTAGTAAGAGTATTAGTTAGCTGTGTTTTCTCATGCTCTATTTTTTGTTCTTATTTATTTAAACTGTAGGTATGTTCTTAAGAATCTATCTCTAGAAGGCACCAAAGAAGACGAGTCACAAACAGGTGTGAATAGAGCCAGCAGAGGAGGGCTTATCTATGGGAACTACTTACAGGTAAGTAGTGAGTGCTACAGATATTAGCTGCTATTTTAGACACTAAATTCTACTTCCTTCCATCTTTTTCTCTTGATTTTTCTTCCTTTCTTTCATCCCTTCTCTCTCTGTCTTTTGGTCTTGGTCTCTATTTCTGTCTCTCTCTCCCTGTCCCCCCTTCCTCTCTTTCTCCTTCCTTTCTTCCTTCCTTCCTTCCTTCCGTCCATTCGTTCTTTCTTTCTGCCTGTCTGTCTGTCTGCCTTTCTTTCTTTCTCTCCTTCCCATTTTCTTAATCATCAGTAGTATTATGTACCTAAAGATATCCATATCCATACCAATTTATACCTTTTCCCACTTCCATTTAGAATAGTCAAAGAGGCTTGTAAGTGAAAATTCAGCTCTGATAGAGGTGTAATAAAAAGCACAGAATCCAGACTCTGGGCAGAAAAGTATAAACAATAAAACAGTGTCAATAGCAGGCAGTTTTACATAATTTGGATAAATAAGAGAGAGTCAATAAATCTTCAGCCTAGGTATGTGTAAATGTATTTCAAATTCTCTCTTGAATCTTTTGTCACAAAGTGGAAATGCAAAAGGCACATAGCTATTTTCTTGAAATCATTAGTAAGTAAAAGAGAGATAACAACAGATGAAGTATTTGGAGACTCTCTGGTTCACTTGAAGTCTGTTTTTCTCCTTCTTTCGCTCTGCCTCCTCCTTATCTTCCTCTTCCTCATTCTTGACAAGGATATTTATTAGACTCAGGAGAGTTATTTATTTCTCAGAAGAATAAAAACTCACAAAACTCAATTTCTTCTCCATTATTTAAAGGAAAATAGATTTTTTGAGAATTTTTGGACCTACCATTTCTAGACTGCCTTCTACCTTATGTTAAAGTTGATTTCATAATACAAGTTCTTCAATTTTAAAATTAGTGTTTCTGTATTTTCATTTAAAGTTGGAAAAAATTTTGAATGCACAAGAACTCCAGAGTGAAATAAAAGGAAATAAAATCCATGATGAACATCTTTTCATCATAACTCATCAAGGTAAGTTGCAAAGAGTTGAACAACTATTGCAGGTGGCCAATTATCAGTTATGAAGACAGCTGCTATCTTTTATCTAAAAGTTGGTGAAGAACAAGGGATCGTGTTCATTAAAAAAGCTGAAGAATTCTTTTCCCTGTGAGATAAATTCTCACAGGACCCCTTTTGCATTTTACATCAGTCATCTCTATCTTCCTTATGCTAATGAGGTCACATAGGAGGACTTCAGCTTTGTCCATGGCTCCAGGGTGATTTTTATCTCTCAGAATTTCATGAAGACTTTGCTGTCTCAGATGTGCCCCTTTTCAATACTGACACACCACTTTCAAGGAATATGACATTTGAATTTATTGCAGATTTACTTGTTTGTAAAAATCTAGTACTGAACAAAAAAGTAAAATTTGAGATATATTTATCAACTCCAGCGGCTATTGGCCCAGAAGTGTATTAATATAGAAGTTTGGAAGTTCCTGAGCATTGAAATTGGGTACACATTTTATGAATATGTACCTGTGGTCCACTAAACAGAAAACACTGTTTCTACAGTTGTCAGTGTTACAGTATAGTCATGTGTCCTGTTTTTGACCAGGACCCAATCACTCATATAGGTCCGTCTTCCATGGCTGCACACATTTGTATTCATATGACACTCCTGTGTTATATTTATATTTTTGTTGTAGGCTGATGCAAAAGCAAATTGGTCAAAAAGGAATTGTGACCTAACACAAACTAGAAATTCAAAATCCGTTTAGAATACTATTTTTACCCTTGTCAATTAGTCACGTTGATGAGGGCTCTGGAACCCATTTCTCTATTAGTAAAATGGAGAGGAATTTTGCTCTTTCTTTTTAATAGACTTTCCATAAAGATAAAATAAGATCATGTGCATTAAGCACTTAGAGTATAAAACACAGTAAGCCTTTAACAGTCACTATCATTATTTAATAAGGATGCTTTCCTTCCATTCTTTTATCATAGTAGTAGCCAGTGGCTCATAGGACTAGTGACATAAAGTTAAACTTGAAAAAGAGACACATATACCAATAGATGTTTGACTTTCACTGGGCCCAAATATAAAAATTACATCTCCCTAAAATCTCTTTAAATATAATTTAAAATTGTAACTAGATCATCCTAATTATCAAAAACCATAGCCTGTAATCTATATAAATGAATAAAATAGGAAACACCAGAAGCATCTAATTCTACTTACTTCCTGTACTCATTTCATTATTATATTGACGATCTAATGTTTTCCATAAAATAACTCAGGTTTTATATTAAGCCAATACTATACTAGCTATTCAAGGAACAAATATAGATGCATATAACCAAATCCTATTTCTAGAAGTTAAACTATTGGTAGAAAGGGAAAATAATACAGATGTGAAAAACACATTTTTGCTTGCCAAAACAATCTAATAACACAAAGGAGTCAAAATGTGTTAGACTTAGGCTTCTGCTTGTAATTAACTTGTCTAACTAGTCAAATCTTTCCTTTTCAATAGCATCAGTATAGTAGTTATTACCTTTAATGTCAGCTTTACCATTTGGTAACCCCTGTGAAAGGGAAAAACAACTCCAAAGCTCTTTCTTTGCAGAAGGATTCTTTGACAGAATTCATACTTAAATAGCCATAGAATCAGAATGAGTATTCTAAAAGAAGGTGTACTAGATAATGTTGAATCAACTTCAGTAAAGGTTTTCTTGGGAATAATCCATGAGAGTAATAAGAAACTTTGCCGTTAATTGTTTTATCACATTTGGCCAAAGTGGGCTTATTTATCCTGGCCCATGAGTTGTTAGGGTTTTGATTTTATAAATGAACAACCACAACCACCACAACACAACACATCTACTGCATTTTAAGTTACTCACCTCTAGAGTTTTAATGATAAACCTTGTAATCTTACATTTAGGCTAGTGATGATTAATTTCTCCATTTATTCTTAAAGCTGCATATCACTGTTTATTCTGTGTATACCTCCAGCTCCCACACAGGAAATGAATTGGGTATGTATCCTACTCTAAGTTTGCTCATTGGAATCAGTTGAATAATAATAAATGTAATAATGTAGGTGAAAGCCTGGCACACTCACACATTGAGCAACTGTAGGCAATTGTAACATCAGCATTTAGTTGTGCCATAAAATGGGCATCTGTTTTCCATTTGGGGGTTTTTAATTTATATGTTCATTTTTAAAAATTTAGTGTGTAGAGGCACCAAATTGACAATGATTTTTCTATTACAGCTTATGAACTCTGGTTTAAGCAAATCCTCTGGGAGTTAGATTCTGTGAGAGAAATCTTTCAGAATGGCCATGTAAGTTGTTACATTATGATTTTGACAACATTTTGTTGAAAAATGGAAAATATTAGCATAAACATTTGAATACCAACTATTGAAATGACTAATATTTAAAACAATTAAACTATCTGAACAGATTATTTAGTTATATTTTCCTACTGCCTTTGCTGTGAGGCTTCTTTCATTTTCAAGCTATTTGTGTAGAAGTCAACATTTTTCTCTAAAATAAATTGCTATAAATGATGGTCGATTACAGAGAGATCCTTTAGGTAATACAACTGCATTTCTAATGAGCAATAGCGATGTAGAGAATACAAGGGTAATGAACAAGATAGAAAATGTTGAAAAGGAGTGACAGAATCAAGAGACAGAAAAGGAAGAGAAGAACAAGAGAAAGGAAAGAGAGAATGCAGAATAAGAAAAGATCAGGAGGACAAAGATAAGAGGAAGGCAGAATAGAGCCTAAGGGGTTGGCAAAAGTTGCAGTTGCACCTACCCACTTCCATTTGGCTTCTTCTTCCCACGCCCCTCAAGAAATGTGTGTTCTTTGGTCCCTTCTGCTTCCTGGGGTCCTGAAAAGGCACCCCATGCATCCATATGCCCTTTCCAATGTGTGTAGGACAGTTCCAAAGCATGTCAATGGCAGTCCTGAAGGGTCTGTTTATCCAGATCTTGTTTAATCCTTACCTTAAAAGTCCTCATGGTAGGTTGATTTTCTCTGAAGCAAAACTAAAAAAATAAATTTGCTTTGAAATTAGTAGGAGTGATGTTCTAGAATTTACATCTACCTTGTGTTCATCTAATATTCTAATTTTAAAGAAAGAATTATTCTGATCTTCTAAACATTCTTTGTCCACAATTCAGAACTGCTCTTAGCCTGGCATGTACTTACAGAAAATTTGAGTTCTAAGATTCCTTTTTAAAGTATAAGACATCTTACTGTCTCCGAACCTACATGGGATACTCAGTGTTTTTCCTTTCTTGCCCATCAGGTCAGGGATGAAAGGAATATGCTCAAGGTGGTGACTCGGATGCATCGAATTGTGGTTATCCTTAAGCTCCTTGTACAGCAGTTCTCTGTGCTGGAAACCATGACAGCCTTAGACTTCAATGACTTCAGGTGAGCACCTGTGGCAGGCAAATTGCAGTAGGGCTTGTCTTCTTGTTCATGTGGGGTAATAGGAGAATATATAAGACATGGGATCTAAATAATCTGGCCTACTGACACAGAAGGATGCTGAGGTCTTTAATCAGAAAGCATTTCATTAGTTACAAGCACTTCATGAGTTGCATTGACATATAAAATAATAGGATCAGTTGAGTACCAGTGGCTTATTCCTGTAACCCTCACTACAAAGGAGGTTGAGATCTGAGGATTACAGTTTGAAGCCAGACTTTAGAAGAAAGGTCATGAGATTCTTAACTCCAATAAAATACCAAAAAGCCAGAAGTAGAACTGTGGCTCAAGTGGTAGAACATTAGCCTTAAACAAAGGAAGCTCAGGGACAGTAGCCAGGCCCTGAGTTCATGCCCCAGGACTGTCACACAAACACAAAATAATGTGATTAATTTCATTTCAATATTGAATATCCTATTTGTCTCAAAAAAGAGAATTTTAGACACATAAGTAACATAGATAATATAAACATGCTTTAAAAATAAAATCTGAAATAAACAGAAATGATATTTAAAGAAGTATGTCAGGATGAAGTGAAGACGGTGTTAGAAAACTGGCCAAGTATACCCTATGACTTGAATTTGGTCCCTAGAACCACAAAACCCTTACCTAGAGTTCCAAATAGCTAGAAAAAAAGTCACTCGAAAATGTCTGATTGATATAAATCATACACTCGAAAGTGTATGATTATATATTGAGCTATAAATTTATGATTTACTACATAATTTAGGCAATTAAAATGACTGAATACATATTTATTTGTATGTTTTATATACTTATAGAAATGTATGTATACATACATATATGTTTTTAAAAATATGCATATATTTTAAACCAAAATTAGAGAAGTTTTTCAAGAAACTTAAGTGCTTCTGATATGTAATATGATATGTCCTCAAATGTTTGACAATCAAAGGAAAAGCGGTAGAATTATTTGTGGTATGTTTAGAATCAATTTGAAATACCAGAGCCCATGTGATGAAGTACACTTAATAAGGACATGAATGCTTGGGTGTTTGGTAAGGGGATAGTGAAAACATCTTTTGATTGGGGATTTGGTGTTAGCTGTATCATGTGTTTTAGAAATTCTCTCACTGATGCTTATGAAGGTAATGGATTATGTCTAAGAGTATAACTGATAGGAAGAATTAAAAATATTTGTTTCCAGTCTTCTAATATTGTGAGGTAAAAAACAATTGCCAAATGTTCATTTTTTCCTTAGAAAATATCACCACAAATGCACACGTATGTATATTAATACACATATACATAAGTCTATATGATATTTGTTCCAAGTACACTTGTGGCAAATTTATATAATTATATAAATTATATATAAAACTATGAATTACATACATACATATGTGCACACCTGTATACAGTAGGTATTTCACAAGAACCAACTTCAAATTGCTTGACATCAATAACAATGCTTAAGTAGTTCATGTTTATATTAAATTTCAGTAAGGATGAAGTTACATGTAGAGCTGGAGTGTGCTGCATATTTTCTGTCTCTGGAGTACACTGACAGCCCTCACAGGGGAAGAAACATGCATAATACCAACCCATCTCTTCATTGATTCCTTTCTCTTCCCTTCCTCTATTTTTTTTTCTTAAAGAGAGTATTTATCCCCTGCGTCAGGCTTCCAGAGTTTACAATTCCGATTGCTAGAAAACAAGATTGGTGTTCTTCAGAGTTCCAGAGTCCCTTACAACAGAAGACATTATCGTGATAACTTCAGGGGAGAAGATAATAAACTGCTACTTGATTCTGAGCAGGAGAAAACCCTTCTGCAGCTCGTGGAGGTACATGCCCTGCTGTTTTTCCGATTAACTAGATACCTCTTATTAATTTAGCTTCTGCTAAATCCAAAATTTAAAACTCACGTTAGAGTTGGGTTATACATTCATAGCAAATAAAAAGAGAAAAATGTATGAAATACAAACCTTGTAATTTCAACTTATAAAATAATGAAATACAGAGAACTTTCTTGAGAAATTAGAAATATTTCTGTAATTTATTATATGTTAATATTTAATTACTCCATTATGACACATACAATTCTTTTAAACATTTCTGCTAAGCAATGTTCATTTAGGTATTTCTTTTGTTAACTGATTAAGTATTCAATTTTATGTATATAAAATATAATTGAAAGCATTTCACTTGAGTATATTTCTTAATTAAGTCAAATTACTTTAGAATTTGTTATAATACTTTAGAATTCTTTCCTTTCATATTCATTTTCTCTAGGATCTATAAGTAGCCTTCAAGAATTACTAATTCTAGTCAGGCATCAGTGGCTCATGCCTGTAATCCTGGCTACTCAAGAGGCTGAGATTTGAGGATCTCAGGTCAAAACCAGCCTGGGCAGGAAACTCTGTCTCTTTTTTTTTTTTTTTGCGGGGGGGGGGGGGGCCGGTCGTGGCGCCTGAACTCTGGGCCTGGGCGCTGTCCCTCAGCTCTTCAGCTCAAGGCTAGCGCTCTACCACTTGAGCCACAGCGCCACTTCCAGCTTTTTTCTTTTTGCTTATGTGGTGCTGAGGAATCGAACCCAGGGCCTCGAGCATGCAAGGCAAGCACTCTACCACTGAGCCACATTCCCAGCCCCTCTGTGAGACTCTTATCTCCAATAAACCACTCAGAAAACTAGAAGTGGCACTGTGTCTCAAGTAGCAAGAGGTAGAGCACTTGCCTTGAGCTAGAGAGCTGAGGGATAGTGCCCAGGCCAATAGTCCAAGTGCCAACAACAAAAGTTACTAATTCTAGTTTTTGCAATTAAATTATGAAGGGAATATTGTGTTGTTTGTTCTTTCTTCACAAAGCCTTTATGAATGCAAATTAAATGTTTCTTTTCATGAGTTATACTATGTTCTTGAATCCCTGAGTGTTATGAATATAAACTTAGGTTACTATAGTTTACATATTGTTATATAATTATTTATTAATATAGGGTCAACATTACAAAGCTAATTTTAAAACTAATTACAAAAAATATGCACATCTTCATGAACTTTGTTTTATTTCTAAATATTGAATAATCTTAAAATAGATTGTATAGTCAATACAGTGCCCCTGAAAAGAGATATTATTTTATATCTTCATATTTTCTTCAGCTTCTAAAATATTCTTTGAGACTAGAAACCAGAAGATATCATTAAAACAATGTAATATAATGTAAAATAATTGTATTGTCAAAGCTTATAGAATTCACAAGGTTAATTGTGAAGGTTAAATGTGTTTGTAACTTAACTATCACTATTCCACAATACTGTAAAATATGTGAAATGTATGTAATCACCTAATCTCAATTTAAAACCAAAACGAAAAGTGAGAGAAGGGATGGGTTAGGAGTGATTGGTGGCAATGTTATCAGACACCTTGTATTCATGTACTGTTTTGTAGAATGGGAACTTCTTTGTACAACTACTTAAAAATAATAATTTAAAAGTTCAAAAAAACCTCTCTACAACATAGAAAGTATTAGCACATTAGGAATTTTTAATTTTAAACTTTAACTTTTATAATCATAAATAAATTATATAGAACATGCAAAAAAAGGGCTGGGAAGGTGGCTCAGTGGTAGAGTGCTCGCCTTGCATGCATGAGGCCTGGGTTCGATTCCTCAGCACCACATAAGCAGAAAAAGCTGGAAGTGGGTGCTGTGGCTCAAATGGTAGAGAGCTAGCCTTGAGCTGAAGAGCTGAGGGATAGCACCCAGGCCCAGAGTTCAGGCCCTATGACTAACCAAAAAAAAAAAAAGGTATAGAACATGCAGAAAAAAAAAAAAAAAAAAAAAAACAAAAGAAAGGACCCTTTGCAACAATGAGATGTACAAGTCTTTATGTCGAAAAACAAACTTTACAACTTTGGTGGGGGGTGGGGGGAGGGCTGGGTGGGGGGAGGGGGAGTATGAGAAGGGATGGGAAGGGGAAACAAAGAGGAGGCAACAATGCTTGATAAGAAATGTACTCGTTATCTTGCCCATGTAATTGTAACTCCTCTGTACGGTATTCTCACAATAAAAAATAAAATAAAATAAAAAAAGAAAAACAATGTTTAACTACATTCATAGATTGTAGCTATTCACAGCTTCCTACCTGGAAGCTAACTATGACTCCCATAAGTATGTACCATTTAAGAAAGAAAGAGCAAATATTATTAATAATGACTACCTTAAAGATCAGGAAATTAAAACACATCAATTTCTATCTCATAAATTAAATAAGCTAAAGGAAAAATTATTAAATCAATTTGTGTCAACTTTTTCAAACTTAGGAAGAGTTTTTTGCTTCAAGTTTCTAAAAATAATAATGGTATATTTTATATGGCTTGAATTTTACCATGTAACTTATCTAAAACAATGATACTTACTTAAGGCATGGCTAGAAAGAACACCTGGTTTGGAACCTCATGGATTTAACTTCTGGGGAAAGTTAGAAAAGAACATCATCAAAGGCCTGGAAGAGGAATTCATACAGATTCAGGTATTTATGATATCATGAGTTAATATGAATATATTAAGGGTGATAGCGTGACAATACTTGGGCTTGAACTCAGTATTGACACTCTCAGTTGGCTTTCTTGTTCAAGTCTTCTGCTATAACACCTGAGCCACAATTCCACTTTCTTCTTTTTGCTATTTTATTGATGACAAGAGTCCTTCAGATTTGTCTGTCCACCTCCTCCCCCTTTTCCTCCCTCTCCTCCTCCTCCTCCTTCTGTCGGTCTTTGGGCTTGAACTCTTTGCCTGGTTGCTTTCCCTCAGTTCTTCAGCCCATGGCTAGCGCTTTACTATTTGAGCCACAGCGCCACTTCCGGTTTTCTGGTGGTTTTGAGGAGATAAGAGTGTCATGGTGTTTCCTGCCTGGGCTGGCTTTGAACCTTGATCCTCAGATCTCAGCCTCATGTGTAGCTAGGATTACAAGCGCGAGCCACCACGCCTGGCAAGTAATGATTTTTTAAGAAGTGCAGTGAAGCTTATCCTTGCTTCACTTTTAACATTGGTAAAATGAGGATATCTATGTTAAATGTCAGGTAAGAGCATTAAATATAACCCATGCTTGGAAAGCATTTAAGAAAAAATCTCCCACGTTATCCTAAACCCATGCCAATTCCCCTGCCTCATCCCTCACAAACAGTATCCATATGGATTATTCCAATAGCCATTTTTAGTTCTAATTTTATTTGGTCTCTTCATAGCCCTTAATACTAACATTTACTTCTTTCTTGAACATTTTTTCCCCTAAGATTTTAGTAAACTGCCTCCAATGTTCTGTGTCTTAATTATTTACCTCTTTACTTGGTTTTATTTCTTTCTCCAATCCATAAATAATAGAGCTTTCATATATACTTTCTGTCCTGTGTAGACACAGGACAGAAATGAGATCATTAGATCATCATTAGATGATCTCATTTATACCCGTTGCTTCGTTATTTGTACTTACTCATCCATAACCTCCAATCTGAATATTTGCTTGGTTTTCAGACTACATATTTAACACTCTAGTTGGTGTTTCCTTTAAAAAGATCAATAATACTGAAATGTCCCTATGCACTCTCACACTGAGCTTGTTTTAGAGTTAAGGTGATTTTCTCCTTTAACTCTTCTAAGATCAAGTCAGTCATCCAAGAGTAGGTCTTGCTCTCACTTTCTTCAACCACTTCTTTGAGCTGTCACCAAATCTGACCACATTTAGCTTTCAAATAGTTCTCAGATATCTCTGTTTCACCCACCAATAACATTGGAGAACAGAGGGTGATGATGTTCATCTGGCTAAGTAAAGCCTTGGTTTAGAATTTCAATAGACAGTGTAGTTTCTGCTAAGAATCCTTCGCTAAGGTGAATTACTTTATTTCTGTGTTAAAAAATTGCATTTAAAATTATCTCACTAAAACGATAAAATAAAATTATCTCAATATTGACAATATTATGTCCCTCTTTCATTCATCTTAGTTGATCTCTCACAATTTTATTTTATTCTTTTGGTGACAGTCCTGGGATTTGAACTTAGGCTCTGGGCTCTGTTCCTGGGGTTTTCTGCTCAAAATTAGCACTCAACTACTTAAGCCACAGCTCTACTTCTGGCTTTTTACATGGTTAATTGGAGAAAAGAGTCATAAACTTTCTTACCTGGGCTGGCTTAGAACCATGATCCTCAGATCTCAGTCTCTGAGTAGCTGGGATTACAGGGGTGAGCCACTCACACAATTTTTTTAGGAAGAGAATATTGGAAATTTTCAAATTATTTAAATTTATATGAAAGGGTAAAACCAGTGTGTGGAAGATTCCTTTTCATATGGAATAATTGCTCAATTGTAATATTAACAATAAGATTAAATATTCCAGGCACACACTTTTAGCAAATTGAGAGTATATTTCTCCTATCTAAAGCATTCTAAAATAGGAATATATTTTGTCTCTTGAGAACCTTCATGAAATTTTTCCTTAAAGGCTAAAGAAGAATCTGAAGATAAAGAGGAACAGATGGCTGAATTTCAGAAGCAGAAAGAGGTGTTAATGTCCTTATTTGACGAAAAACGCCATGAGCATCTCCTTAGTAAAGGTAGATACAAAATTCTTTCAAAGATTCTTTCCCTGGAATATATATATCTCTCTATATATATGATATATGAGTATGATCATGTAATTTTATAAGACTATCAAACCTAAATGAGGAAAGTAAAATAAAAATTGCTATTCTACTTAAACAAGAATTGGGTCAAATCATCTTTCACAATCCTAGTTAACAAGTTCCTATGCCCACTGTGTATAAAATAAGCAAAATCTTTCCTACTAATTGCTATCAGGGATGCAAGGGTAAATATTACACAGGTTTTGTTGTTGTTGCATGTTTTTTATTGGTGACAGAATTGGGGCTTAAATTTTTGTTGGACTTTTTTGCTAAAGGCTGGCTATCTACCATCTACATCTCCACTATCAGCCTTTTTGTGGTTGATTTTGAAGATAAGTCTCTCAGATTTATCTGGCTGGGCTGGTTATGAAGTTTTATCCTCAAACCTCAAGTCTATTCCCAAATCTCAACTGAGTAATTAGAATAACATGTGCAAATGACCAGCATCCAGCCACAATACAGGTTTCAACAGGCTCACAGCCTCAGAAGGAAAGGAAAGGATCTCATAGTAATTAGGTACTCTGTGGTAGAGGTAGGAGGAGGAGGGAAATCCTTGTGGTTTGGAGGTTTTAATGGAGGAAGTGTTGTCTAGGGAGACCAGGAAATGTCCCTAGGTAGACTTTTGGCACAATTCACTTCCTGAAACTAATAAATATAATTAGGGCCTTTATTACTTAAATCTCTTATCTATTTGGACATATTGTGTTCACTTTGATTTAGAAATTTTATTGTAATATGCCTTAAAATTTTTGAGAAAAAGACAAGATAGAAGTAACGAGTCCAATATGTGGCATAACATGATTTTAGCTAGAGTTTCCTTCTATAAGGTTAAATTCATTACCCTTAATAAGGTTTCCAAGACCTTTGGTGAAGGTTGACAAACCTTATTTTCCCGCTGTTAAGGGAAAAGCTTTCTTCTAGTATTTCATCTCTGTGCAGCTTAAGGCGACAAAAGCAAATTTTAAGTGAACAAGAGAAAACTACTTTTTATAGAAGTTACATTTATTTTTAAATAACCAGCTTATCCTAACATGTTATTTAGAGGTTTTAAAGAGATGACACTGTTCAAAAACAAAGATACTCATTACCTGACTTATGTAACTGTAACCCCTCTATACATCACCTTTACAATAAAAATAAACAACAACAAAGTTAATGTATTAACGGCACACAGGAGTTTATTGTGGTATTGCCCATATGTATATATAATATACTTTGATCAAATTCATGCCCTACCACTCACTAAAGGTTTTGAGGACTATAAAATTAAAGTTTATCTATATTATAGAAACATGATATGTACCTATATTACATATTTTTGTGTGGGTGCTTACACACACATACAGGGAATAAAATTAATCTGTGGCAGGGTGTTGGTGGCTTATGTCTGTAATTCTAGCTACTCAGGAAACTGAGATCTAAGGATAATGGTTTGAAGCCAGCCTAGGCAGAAAAGTTCCCGTGAGACTATTATCTCCAATTAACCACTCAAAAACTGGAAGTGGCACTGTGACTCAAGTGGTAGTGTGATAGCTTTGAGCATAAAGAAGCTTAGGGACTGTGCCAGGACCTGAGTTGCCCCATAACTGACAAAATAAATGAATTTGAATATTATATTGTTTTCTAAAAATATGTCCACTTAAATTTTTAAAAATTATCTCCTTGATAATTTTAAAAGAGATATCAAGTTAATATGACTGCTGTATATTATCCATGAAATGAAAGCTTGCTGTGTGTCTTGTAGGTGAAAGACGACTGTCATACAGGGCACTCCAGGGAGCACTGATGATTTACTTTTACAGGTAAAACTTATCCGAACACAAGAGAATTAGATATAAATCACATACAAAGTATACCACTTATATATTGGAATCACAATACAATATATTTAGAAAAAAAGGAAATATTGTTTTAAACTTTTGAACAGAAGTATAATTCTATCCCTGTAGCAGATTATATGGATATGCACACACAGATTAATCAAAATCATTTTTATTAAGTCATATAAAATAGTATGGGCCATAAGTAAGTACCCTAAAAGGCCAAGTTCAAGTTTTCTTAGAAACTGCAATGTGTTCTGTCCTTTGAACTATAAGCTTTTTTCTTAACTAATATTTGCCATCTATTTTATCAATTTCAAGTCAAATTGCCTTCCCTTTCTGAAATATGCACTAGCCTTGGAGTGTTCACTTCCTCCTTTTCAAGGGGGTAAAGGTTATATGGGAGCCTAAGCCACTGATTGGCTCATCAGTAGCGGAAAAGATTCAAGTGTCTACAGGATGTTTTACTTCCTTGTAATTTAACTTTTAAAACCCTTCAAATCTGTTCCTTCAGAGTATCAACATAAACCAAACCTTTTTTGTTTCCTATACTCAAAATTAATATATACCATTAAAGTGAAGCTATCCTGAGCAAATTAAGTAATCAGAAAGTTGAAAAACTTGAGGAAAAAATGGGGAAAATATAAAAAGTGAAAAATAGTTCTCTCTGTGTGTGTATGTGTGTGTGTGTTTGTGTGTGTGTGTGTGTGTGTGTGTGTGTGTGTGTGTGTGTTTAATCTAGAAGCTTTTGATTCATTTGATTTAGATTTATACATCTTCCTTTCAAGAATCTGTTCAGAGTAACTTTGGCTAATTACATCATATATATCTTATAGAACCACATAGACTTCACATAAATTCTAGGAAGTAGTATTATTAGTATTTGAGAGGTAAAGAAAAACATAAACTGAAAAGAATCCAAACTTGTCACCACTCCCATGGGACCAAATTTACATTTTTTCCAGGGCTAATTATAAAACTCATGTTCTTCCAGATCAACTGATTCTCTTAAAGAAATATCTTCTCACTCTTTTGTGTAGGGAAGAACCTCGATTCCAGGTCCCTTTCCAGTTGCTGACCTCTCTGATGGACATAGACACACTCATGACGAAATGGAGATGTAAGTCTTCCTCTTGCCTTCACAGTCCTTCTCCCATACTTCTATTCTTTTACTCCAATACTCTTGGGGACTCATCAAAATATTTTAATCCATTTCAAATCAGAAAGAAAATGAACTTTAAGTCAAAGAAAATGTTTTAATATATAATAGTGATCCATTCATCTAATGCAAAGCATTTTCAAGTATAGCTTTACATTCTCTTTTTTCAATGGAGGAGGGTTTTCCCAAAGGCCAAACTGACAAGGATCCATGAGAAGTCATTAAGTGGCCATTCTGCCCTTGTTGCGCTTACAGACTCACTGCAGTGATGGATGGAGCCCATGCCATGTGGGGTGCTAGGCAACCTACTGTCCTCATTTGGTGCTCACAGATGAGCCTTCCATCTGGCTAAGTGATAAGGTGTCAGCCTTTTCTCAGAAACCATCATCATTACCAAATCCTTGTTTTTAGAATATTTACCAACTAATGGCATCAAATATCCATGTAGTAAATGTGTTTGCCTAGATAACCATGTGTGCATGGTGCATAGGATGCTGGGCAGCAAAGCTGGCACTGGAGGTTCCTCAGGCTACCACTACCTGCGCTCAACCGTGAGGTAAGAGGCGAGTTCTTCTCTTCATTGGGGTGGCAATCACCCAGTCTGTTTCTGCACATTTGTACTGATAATAGCACATTTGTAGTTAGCTAACACTGCTCCTCTTGGTCTTTTGGAGGAAGTCGTATACAGTCCTCCATGGTGGAATTTCATCATTTTGCTTCTGTGATAGAAAGGGACCTGAAAATGCTAAGTGTCTTTGCAAACTTGTTCCAGCTCAAATTTTCAGTAACCTACAGCCATCAGCATCCATTTTCCTAATTTCATCTTTGCTAGATAAAGAGCACAGCTAAAACAATTTCTTATTTCCCCATGTGCCTATTTAATATCATAAAACTACTTTCAACTATCAAAAGAGAGCCTTTTATAGTGTTTTTTTGGGACAAAAGTCAACATTTATTGAAGACTTAAGACATGCTCAAGCAGCTTCCAGGGCTTGTATATTCTTATTTTATTTAGTATTCCCTATTATAGATAAATGGGTACATGTGAAAATGAGGGGAAATGGCTCCTTGGAAAAGAAGAATCATCAATAATGAATTAGATATTCATATTTATTTTGCCAAATTCTTTCATTGTCCCCATCCCTAATCTTACTACCAAATTGAATGACATACAAAACACACAGGTTAGAATTGTTGTTATTGCATATTTTGACTTTCCATGATAATAAATTCTTGATCTTACCAGGCAGTCAATGACTGTACTAAATAAACACGAATATCACAGATGCCATTGCCATTGTACCTTTATCTTATTTGGTCTTTACAAAGGCCAACTAGAAGGAGGAATTGTAGGTTTTCATTTATAGAGGTAGAAAATGGAACACTAGGGCCGGGAAGGTGGCTCAGTGGTAGAGCACTTGCCTTGCATGCATGAGGGCCTGGGTTCAATTCCTCAGCACCACATAAGCAGAAAAAATAGCCAGAAGTGGCGCTGTGGCTCAAGTGGTAGATCTAGCCTTGAGATGAAGAGCTGAGGGACAGTGTCCAGGCCCAGAATTCAGGCCCCATGACCGGACCTCACCCTCCCCCCCCCAAAAAAAAAGAAAAGAAAATGGAACACTAATGTTCAAACCGTATGTCTAAGAGTTTTGTGATTAAACCAGAATTCAGGCCGAGATTTTTTTGACTTCAAGCAAATGTTCTTCCTTCATAAGGCTACATCCACTGAAAAAGTGCTACAGTTTAAAATAGCTGACTTACAAGCTGAAAGTAACAAACTACACTTATAATTACACAAAGATGGTATCTTAATGTATTAGGTTGTCCCCTTATCATAGTTATTTGGTAGCTAATGTGAAGTTGGGAAATATTGTCCAATGAACAGCTAAGAACTCCATGCACAGTTTGCACACCATCTGGTGAAAACAAGAACATGCCATTAGCATTATGAAAGTGGCAGGACATTAATGGTGTTAAGTTTTAATCTTTATCTCCATGGTCTGACTCAACAAAGCACAATACAATCTTTCTTGTGTATGTGTGTGTGTGTGTGTGTGTGTGTGTAAGGGCGAGAGAGAGAGAGAGTGTGTGTGTCCTTAAACTCTAGGCCTCAGTACTTGCTGTCCTTTAGGTTTTCTCTCAAGGCCTCAAGGATAGCACTTTACCACTTGAGCCACAGCTCCACTTCTGGCTTTTATTTAAAATAGTTAGTTGAAGATAAGAGACTCACAGACTTTCTTGCCCAGACTGGCTTCAAACTGTGATCCTCGGATTTCAGCCTTCGGAGTAAAGGCATGAGCCATTTACGCCCAGCCTAACAAAATGCGCCTTAAAAGTATGAATGTAGCCAGGAAATGGTATCTCACACTTGCAGTTCTAGCTAATCAAGTGGCTAAGCTCACGGTTCAACACCACCCTGGGGGGAAAAGTCCACAAGACTCTTTTCCAACTAACTAGCAAAGAGATGGGCTGTAGATGAGGCTCAAGACAAGCAAACTGAGTAAGCTTGATGCCCTGAATTCACAACCCTATACTGAGGAGACAAAAGCATGGAACATGAAACAGGAACTTTGGTTATGAGTAAATAACTAGCAGTCTTAATAATGCTACATAACATAATGTATACATATATGTTTATATGTATACCTACATAGATGTTTGGGTGTAAGTATACACATATATGCATACAAATATGTTATATATATATATGTGTGTGTGTGCTATTCACAGCAGATAATACAATTTTGAATACATAGTATAGCTTTTAATATCAATTATTAAAATATCTAAAAGAAATTAGAGAAGAAATGTTTAGATATTTCATGTGAGCAAATCTTACATATCTTCATCTGTATGTCTTTCAGTGACAGGTACAAGGTGTTTGTGGATTTATTTAACCTTTCCACATACTTGGTTTCTCGACACTGGATACCGAAGACAAACCCAATGATTCATAAATTCATCTACACAGCTGAATACTGTGACAGCTCCTACTTCAGCAGTGAAGAATCAGACTAAACTCATGAAAATTCTGTGAACAATATTGATTTCTCAGGCTATTTTTTTATTTTCTAAATTCCCATCAACGTCTGGAAATTCTTAGGGAGATGTATTTTTACCTTTAGTTCAGACCAATGGTATGTTGATTCAACTCTGGAAAAAATTTTATTGCCATCAGTTTGTGATCATATAAAATGAAACATCAAGAAGAGAAGTAAGCTAATTGTAACATTGTACATGTTTTTATTAGAAATTGTGTGTGTTTGTGCATGTGTGTGTGTTATATTCCTATAATTCCAGCTACCTGGGAGGCAGACACAAGAAGGATGGATGGTGGTTTGAGTCCAGCCAGGGAAAAATATTAGAAAGACTCCATATTATAATAGGCTTATACCTATTATCTTAGCTACTCAGAAAGATGAGATCTGAAGATTACAGTTCAAAGCCAGCACTAGCTGATAATCTTAACTACAATTAACCAGCAAAATGCTGGAAGTGGAGATGTGGCTCAAGTGGTATTGAGTGCTGGTCTTGAATGGAAAAGTCAAGAAAGAGCTTGAGGCCCTGAGTTCAAGTCCCTGAAACTGGCACAAACATTAAAAAAAGAAAAGAAAAGAAAAGGACATGAAAGTAAAGACTTCATCTCAAACAATAAGCTATGCATGGTGGCACATTTAGGTGGGAAAATCACAGTTCAGTGCTGGCCATGGGCAAAAGTGAGACCCTATCTGAAAAAAACTAAATAAAAAAGGATGTTTTGTGGCTATATGGTAGCATATTTGGCTAGCATGAACAAGATCTTGAATTCAAAACCCAGCAATGACAAAAAGAAGTCAAAATTTTAAATTCAACTTCCCCTGATTTTTAACACTAATGTAACCACTTCATATTATCTTATTGTTCTATACTTTATAAGCTTATAAATTACATCAAATCTTTGTCCAATAAAATGTATACTTCTGTACAAACTGACTCAAACAAAAAGTGCAATAGTAAAACTGTACTATTAAACTTTGGGTTATGTAATTATTTGTTTGTTTTGTATTTTTAGAACACTGTATTTGTTAGGGCACTTGATTACCACTGGCAGAAATCTTCTGAAGTTGTTAAAGGATATTTCCTGGCTCACTTCTCCATTAGCTACCAGAATGCAAGAGAGCATTAGGAGAAGAGCCCGAAGACTAGGCCTACCTGGGGAACTGGGTTTAGTTCTTGGCATCCCATATATGTGTCATGCTTTGAAAATCCTCTAGCAATTGTCCTCTTTGTGGTGTCAGAGAATAGCTAGCCATTTTCTTTCTCTATGTATCTAAGTTTTATCAGATTTGCACTTTCAGAAGGACTCATTTATCCAATCCCAATACTTGTCCTCTGGGAGGTAGAGTCAGCTATAATGCAAGGGACATTGAGGTAGGAATGAGTAATAGTGCCCACAAGAACAGAGTTCTCTCCAAAAGAATGCAGAGATAAGTAGACTAACTAGCAATCCTATTTATTCCAGATAAAAAAGTATTGGGGAAGGAGTTGAGATCAGACCTGAGTTTTAGTCTTTTGTTTCTAACTTGGCCAGGATTTAACATCACTTGTATTTTCAATTTGGAGGCTGTATATAATGTTACTGGTAGAATCTAGAATGCATATCACCTTTGACTAGACTGATTTTTCTCTAGCAGACAATAAGTTCTTGAAGAAATGGCCTATTCTTTGGTCTCAATTTCAAAGTTTTTAAAGTATCCTATCACCTTGTGGGTCTCTTAACTGCATGTAAAATGGACACATCATCAATAGTTATGGTTTCAACATACTGTCATTTGAATCTATAAGTAAATACACTGGATGGTAAGCAAGCAGTCACAAATGAATTAACTGAAGTGTAATAGACTCTATAAAGAGTGCAAATAGTGTAGTTCTTTAGACAGACTAAGTCAGAGCCCCCCAAATAATAGTATAATAACATGCAAACACAACCATATGTAAATATATTCCATTTTACGCAAAAGATTGAACATATTCAGATTTCAGTACGGGCATCTTGAACAAATGCCCCACACTCATGGAGGGATGAATACAATTGTTTCATCTGCTTCACTTGTGTGTATGTGTGTGTGTGTGTGTACATGCCCATGTGTGTAGAAGTGTTAAGCTGAAAACACTGAGTCAAACAATACAAATCCTTGATTTTGCTATCATAGCAAATTCTGGTTCTGCTAATCACATATCACAAAAATCACTGTAAGGCTGAGTCAGCATTCACCCTGAGACAGTTGAGAATTACTCACAGCAACATTCTGCTGATTTTCATTAGGGCTCGAGAGTTAGCGGTGAGACTGTCACTGCTCTGGGAAAAGTAGTCTGTTAACTTGAGCATCAAACAATCCAAGGATGCAAAGGTAGAGCGCCTTCCTCATGCAGCTTTACCAACAGAAGTTGCCTGCTATCTTGAAGGCCATTTGGGAGCCATTAAATGGCTTACAGGGGACAAATTTATACCAGTACATTTAAAAAGATAAATGTTGGGAGAATATAGACTACAGTAACTTAGGATCAACTGAACCCTGATCTACTTTGAGAATCCTGGGTAAAGGGACATGGAGTTTAGTTAGTAGTGTCTAGCCCAAGTAAAAAAAAAAAAAAACCAAAACCTAAAATTATGAGGATTTTACATAGATATGTGGGATGGGCAGAACTGTGACAAAGACACAGTTAAACCACAGTGTTACACAAATGCTAACCCTAACTTCATACAAAAAAAAAAAAAACAACCTTTGGCTGGGTGCTGTTGGCTACTGCCTGTAATCCTAGCTAATTAGGAGGCTGAGATCTGAGGATCGTTGTTTGAAGCCACCCTGTGCAGGAAAGTCCTTTAGCCAGAAGTGGTGCTGTGGTTCAAGTAGTAAGGCACTAGCCCTGCGCAAAAGAAGCTCAGGGACAGAGCTCAGACCCAGAGTTAAAGTCCCAGGACTGGCAAAAACCAACAACAACAAAAAAAAAAACCACCCTTAGGTAATATTTGCTCACTAACAGCTTGCTAAGCCTTGTGCTGGTTGTCATTTTAGTACTGATCCCTATAGCTCAGGACCTATGCAACTTAACATCACTTTTCATTTACCTTTAAATACCTTTCTCTCCTTCTGTGGCCTTGGATATACATCCGCATATTCACCTCACAATGTGCCTTCAGAATAAATAAACTCATTCTCTTGGGAGACTATCTGTCCACCTTTTAGTTTAGGTAATGCGGTGGGCATTCTACAGGCACGCCTCAGTAAAAATGGACAGGCCAATGGATAGATTCTCAAGGCTTGTGTAGCCTGATTAGGGTATCTAAGATTTCTTTTACCTTTATTAGGTGATCAAAGAATATTGATTTTGTTGACAAAAACAGACACCCACCCTAGGGAATGAAGGAACATTGAGGAGTGATTGAGAGGATGATGAGTAGAATTTGGGAGAGCGTAAGATCAAGTGTCTAGGAAAACAATACTTAGATATATGTACTTGGGGACAAGCAGTCTGCACAAACAGATAGTACGACAGTCTTGCACAATTGGGTGTCTAATGAGCAGGCACATTCAGAACAGTTGGAATAAGCAATTTATTCCCTAATGGGCAAATCCCTTCTACACTCCTAATTGGTTAAGCATTATGGGATGTACAATGTTCCCTGGAATTTTGTTATTTTTCTATTGAGTAATTTAAAATATGCGTCTTTTAAAAAATAAATAAAATAAAATAAAATATGCATCTTTGTGGTTAGTTGAATTATAGAAGAGGGTCTTATTTCCACCAATGCTTTGTTCTCTTGTGGGGGAAGGGCTTTCCTGGGTATGCACTTTCTGGCATGTATACATTTTACTTCATGTTCTTGTGGTCAACTCTTTCTTCTTCTAGTGGCACCCCCTTTCTAATGTTTTATTTGCCTACTCTGTTAGGTTGGGAAATTCCAAGTGTGTAGACTTTCTGGCTCTCACACCAGCAAGCTGTAAAGTCATTGTCTAAGAAACCTTTTACATGGAGCTGAATGCCATGTCTTGAAAATGGACCACCACTATTTTCCACAAATGTAAGGCACAATTTAAGCTACCCAGGTAGTTCAAAGCCATAAATATCTTGTTTATTATAAATGTTTACAAAATCTAGAACCCTTAGAAATATTACTCATGGTGAAATTTTAAAAATCCTTCGGCATTTGAAAATAATTTGAACAGTGTTTATATCATATGGAACACCAGTAACACAAACTAGAACCAGGACTTTTCTAGCCTGTTTAAATGATTACAATATTTATTAGTAAAATATCAATATTTGGCTTTCCTAAACATTTTTTGGCTATTTTTAGGGCTTGAACTCAGGGGCTGAGCACTGTCCCTGAGCTTCTTTTGCTCAAGGCTAGCACTCTATCACTTGTGCCATAGCACTAGTTCTGACTTTTTCTATTTATGTGGTTCTGATGCTAGGCAAGCACTCTACCACTAAGGCACATTCCAAGCCCCCCTAAACATCTTTGTATCTTCTTTTAGGATTGCTTCTTGTTGTTGAAAAAAGTATTATCAAATGTTATTCCAATAAAGGAAATGTAGAAACCACAAAAAATAAGAGCAACATTGTCCTAGATTCTTTCTTTAGGGGTTGATGCTGCTATTTTAAAGTTTTATTTTAGTCACAGTTTTCTACTTTTTAGAAGCAGTGATGAATCTGAGAAAATGTTTACCACAGTAACTCTTTTGATACAGTTGCCTTTGTGTTTAGTCAGAAGGCCAGCTCCTTTCTTCTGAGCTTCTTACATTGCCACTCAAGAAGTGGGCTGTGGGCTCCTCACAGGATGGGTCCATACTGTTCATTGTGAGCTCACAGCGTTAGGATCCCTGTCCAGGATGCAATAAGATGTATACCAATGGCACAGCATGTGTAGTCATTCCTAGAATTAGCAAAATAAGAATGAGCATAAGGTGTGAAGAACAAGGAACCAAGAGAAAGCCAAAGGGAAATTAAAAAAAAAAAAGAACCTAGGACAATCACATCTGAGCTGACACACTAGCTTAAGGTATGGTGTTAAAGGAGTAGTATGTAGAATTCTGGGAAGACAGTGAGATTCAAATATTATAGACACCTAGAGATAAAAGAGTACAGAGAGTGGCAGAACGCTAAGACAGTGTCAAGAATGTTAGAGACGTCTTTAGGCACAAAGCCATACTCCTAGGGCAATTAGGGTATCAAACAGTGAAGCATAAGAGAGGGAGAGAGAAAAAACATCCAGAAAAAATATTTTCTTCTTTGCTACAGAGCAAAGAGTAAAATCTGAGAGTCATACTGAAATGAAATTTTCTCAACAGTGATTTTCCCTCAGGCAATACAGATGGAAGTTTCTTATCTCACAGCTGTCATACTGATCTTTATTTTGGAGGTAGTTGGATTTGTACTCAGGACCTTGCACTTACTCAGCAGACACTTGAGCCAAGCCCCTAGTCCTTCTGGCTTTACTTTTCAGCTAGTGTTTCTCTTTTACCCAGACTGGCCTAGCACTGAAACTTCCCAATGATACATCCCGAAGAGCTTGGATGATAGGTATGGAACAGATTTGGTCTTTGATTTTCAGAAGAAATTCATCCCTTTGTCCTTTTGTTTTCTTTACTATTCAAAGGCAAGCTCCATATGACCAAGTAAAGCAGCTAGTATGTCAAATATGTATGTTCTTCCATCTCAGAAGGCTGCTGCTGAGAGGCATCTATTCCATTAGGTTGGGCCATTCTAATTTTAGTCTAGTGATTATATCTTACATGAAAAGAAAGTCTTGGGGTGCTGGGAAGGTAGCTCAGTGGTAGAGCGCTTGCCTTGCATGCATGAGGCCCTGGGTTCGATTCCTCAGCACCACATAAGCAGAAAAATAAAAAGCCGGAAGTGGTGCTGTGGCTCAAGTGGTAGAGTGCTAGCCTTGAGCTGAAGAGCTGAGGGACAGCACCTAGGCCCAGAGTTCAGGCTCCACGACTGGACCCCCCCCAAAAAAAAGAAAAAAAAGTCTTATCACCTCTGATTCTAGCTGATCAAATTAAAAAGAAAGAAAAAAATCAAAGAAAAAAGAAATGAGAGGGGCTGGGAAGGTGGCTCAGTGGTAGAGCGCTTGCCTTGCATGCATGAGGCCCTGGGTTTGATTCCTCAGCACCACATAAGCAAAAATAAAAAAAGCCAGAAGTGGCGCTGTGGCTCAAGTGGTAGAGCCCTAGCCTTCAGCTGAAGAGCTGAGGGACAGCACCTAGGCCCAGAGTTCAGGCCCCACAACCAGACCCAAAAAAATTTTAAAAAAAGAAAGAAAGAAATGAGAACAGAATATGACAAAAACATAAAAATAGCTTCTTCATTTACAATTTTAAAAAGTATTTTAAAAAGGCTTTCAATGAACACTTAAAAAAATAGCTTCTTCAAGTTGGAGGTCCTTAAAACTGGTCCCAATCTAAATTTTGTCCCAGAGTAGGGCATGTTTCACAGGTTTCCCTGTAAGCTGAGGGGCTGGAGTTCCTCTGAAAGTCTACGTAAAGGGGACACATGCCACATAGGTAAATGCTACTAGATCTAAGAAGCTTGTGTAGGTTGTTGCTGAAGCTTGTAGTGGAGCAATGTTTAGAATGAAGCAGTGAATGACCCTTCCTGCCTTGTGTAAACTTTTCTTTCTCAGTTGTCTCTTGATATCTCCAGTGGATCACACAGATACAGCAGACACAGAATCCGCGATACCTAAGACAAAAACAAACAAACAAATATTAGTACTTCATATTTGCTCTTCAGCTGTCTTCAAGCAGAAAAGTAAAGTTTACTTTTTATTTAGGTTTGGAATCAGCTGTTGTCTACTAAAAAATAAGGTAATGGTTAGTGCTACCAGAGGGGAAAAAAAACTCAAAACCTGAGCAATGGTGGCTCATGTCTGTAATCTTAGCTATTCAACAGGCTGATATCAGTTCAAAGCCAATCTGAGTGAGAAAGTTACTTTCAATTAACTAGCAAAAATACGGAAGTGAAGATGTAGGTCAAGTGGTAGAGTACCAGCCTTGAATAAAAAAAAAATCAAAGGAGAGCTCAAGACCGTGAGTTAAAGCCCTAACAGCAGTCCACACACAAAAATAATGATATGCTTAATATTTTATATCAAGACACTAAAATTTTACAACCAAATATTAGTGAACCTAAAATATGAATGCATCTGAGACCAATTTATTTCATTGCTATGTATTTCTTAGTGGAAATAAAATAGCTTGTCAGGTTAACTGTAAACAAAATTTCAGGTTGTAAACTCTATGATTTGAACTTGAATAAAATTTCAAGTGTCCTGTTCTTTCTTAGCCTGAAGCTCAACACCATGCCCAAAGCAGTAAGTAGCAGTAAGTAAGTCTGGATTTTCTTGTAGTGATCCCCAGCTTTGAATTCTCTAGAGGATGTGGAACAGTATCTACATGATGCTACTGCTCATAGAGTAATATAATTTTCAGGATACACTGGTGGGAAGAATTTAGGCCACTGATGATCACTGATGATGCAGCCAGATCGTTGGATAGTTGCACTGGGAAAGCTAGTGGGAGACTTTATCTCAAGTCATCCTAGGCAGCTGTAGGGCTGGGGGCAAAGCATCAGCATTGTTGCCATCATTATAAATCAATGTTTGAACTGTAATCTCGCCATTACCCTGCTAGAGCTTTGAAAACAGCTCCCCCTCAGCACAAATCCAACCATTCACTTCCCATTAGGACAATTAGGCCAGTGAAGGGCAACAGCAATTTACCTTCCAGTTTCATACACAGGAAGTACCAGGCAATTAGGACAAGTACAAGCCTGGCTTGCCCTCAGCTTTGACAGGCAGACTTTAGTGACATGAACTATCCCCAGTAAATAACGTATAAGAACCTTCATTGGAGGAAGAGCTGAGGTTATTTACTAACATTCCTGGGTTCTATTTTATGGAGTGATCAGAGAATAATCATTAGATTGAATCAAAACACTGACAGATAACTTTTCCCCTAATTTTATTTTAGTCTCACCATCTGGAAAGTTCTACCAATTTTAAACACTTGTATCCTTTATATGATAGAACTCACTGCAATGAAAAATTCAAAGTTGCTTTCTATCTGAAATTTAGATAGCTTGATTTTAGAGAGTATGCTGATTTTCCATACTGGCCTGAAATTCAAGACTTAGAATATATTTTTGGATACAGGTTCAGCATAGATCTTAGAGTGCTTCAGCATTTTTATTCAGTTTGTGGTTGATAATTTTTAAGTTTGTATATAGTACATGGCTAATCCTCTAAATATCAGTGGGCATTTTGCTAGAATCGTATATTTGATAAGGATGAAATTAAGTCAGAATCAAGCCTGATACTTAGATTTTTCTATTTTCAAAGAAAGAAAATGGAACCATATTTTTTTTCTTTCACTTTGGTTTTCTTCTTTTGCAGTGCTAGGAATGAAACCCAGAGCTTTGCATATGCTAGGTGCCCAACATTGAGTGCTTCTCTGAAGACATATAATCATTAAGCAGGAATTACAATGCACAAATCAGGAAAAAAATCACAGTGTAAAAGTGAATTTGGAACAGAAAGGTATTTCTGGAGTGGCTCAGCAACTTGAGTGTTCATCTGATCTCTGAAGTAGTTAACTTCAGTAATGAATTGTTTGGGGTAATGTTTTGAAAAACAAGTGAATGACATATTTAAGTTTTCTACTTCACAATGTGAACGTGGCTGAGCACTGGTGGCTCATGCCTATAATCGTAATCTTTTCATGAAGCTGAGATTTGAGGATTATAGTATGAAGTCAGCGACGGCAGGAAAGTCCAATGAGACTCTTACCTTCAATAAACTACCAAAACCCAGAAGTGGAGCTGTGACTCAAGCAGTAGTCTTGCCCTTGAGTAAAAACACTCAGAGACAGTGCCTATACCATTCTGAGTTCAAGCTCTAGGACCAGCACAAAAGAAACAATGTGAATATGTTCAACAGTGCCTCTTTTAAAAATTTTCAACAGGGTGAAGATGAACTTATTAGTGCATAGTACTCTGAGTTTGTTGACAGCATTTTCTAAATTAGAAATGTTTACAATTTTAATATTCCCAAAGAATATTAATTGATACTTAGCCACAAGTTTGCAACACAAATCTATGACTTACCACAAATATTACTGCCCATTTTCACATGTGCATAGCCATCTACTCCCCAGGAACGCCCCCAGGAGTTCCGAACTATCCAGTATGGAATTCTTCCTAAAAACAGAAAGTGTTAATAACTTCTACTTGGTAGGAATGCATGAATTTCATATAAAGTTGGCAAAGTCCAAATAAATCTACTAGCTCTGAAAAAGATATTAAGTGTAATACATTTACATTTATATTACATAAATTATGTTATATAAATGTAAGTAAACAAGCGTCATAATTAACAGCTGTATTTAGTATATACTCATTAGAATACATGTCTAATTCTAGTAAATTAGGTGGGGGAAGGAGTATTAGAGATGTGTGGCAAATCAGGAAATGCTTATCTTTTCCCAACATTGATTCCAAATATTCCAAATAACAACTGCATTATTTTTTTTCCTTAGTCCAAGACTGGGACTCAAACTTGAGGCTTTTGTTCACTGGCAGGTGCCCTACCACCTAAACCACGACTCCAACCTCTAAAAGGTTGGTTAGTTGTTTTTTCTTTTTTGTATTATTTAAGTTAATAATATATCGGAATCAGGCTGGGAAGACAGATCAGCGACAGACCACTAGCTTTGTATGTGTATTACACTAGGACAAACCTTCAGCTCTCCATAAACAAAAAAAAAAGACATAAAAATTCATAAGTGGTAATGCATAGAATATTTACATCTGAGAGATCACCTACAAGTCAGTTCTCAGGCATTACACACCAAACTGCATTGCTGTACAGGTTGGCCTTTTTGGCAGAGTTCAACCTGGATAGTGTGTTGTAATCACTCACCTGTTTTATCAAACCCAGTTACGAGGACAGCATGGTTTGCTTCTCCACTAGAGCAGTGGTGCTGTATTATGCCTCCTAGGTAATCTTGCCAACTCACCGCATCTACCACCACAACCAAAGGACCAAAGGTCAAAAGTGCTCTTGCCATCTCATCTTCCTGCTCACTACCAAGACAGAAAAGCATAACATGGGCAAGGTAATAATCAAAACAGTCTTGCAAATCTGCATATTGTTAGGGATACGTTTGGTTAAAATTACAAATGACCTAAACAACAGAGGGTAAGAGATGACTTGAATAAGGGCATTTTAGTACTGTCTGAGGCCCCAAGATAACAGAACTCAGCCTCCATACTCACTATCTTCTCGGCCTACACCTGCTGATAGATCTCCCACCATTTAACATATGTTTTTGACAGCAGAAAGAAGAAAGGCAATGAGGTGCTACATCTCTGTTGAGAAGAATCCTAAGAAATGATATGTACTTCTGCATGTAAAGATCTCCCTGGCCAGGGGAGAGTTATCTGCCCCAGTCTGGCTTAAAGAAAGATGGAAAAAAAGAGTTTATAATAGTTGGCTGGCAAAGTATTCAGGTTAAAATAACATAGCAATTGCTTGGATAACAACAGTGTAAAGATTCGATATTCAGAAATTCTTTGTCATCACACTATGTGAGAACTGAGAGCCTAAGCAACTTAGGTTAATGAATTTCTAATACAGAAGCTGCACACTGGAAATGATATACTAGACAATATGTCAAAATAAATAAAGCAATAAAAACTGAAGAACTATTAAGTTGCCTGGGAAACTGGGTGCTACATGGCCAGAATAGCAAACAGTTACGACTTTCACAATTGTGATGGAGAACATGCTCACCATTTGGCCTCCATGGATCACAAAAGTATGTGATAAAACCATCATGTACATAGTTCAAAGGACAGCTTCGTGGGTGGAAGATGCAGAACCAAGGTAGTGATAGTTCAGGCCATTAGTAGCATGGGGCGGTTTATTACTGCAGTGAGTGTGGTGGCTTAGCAGACAGAGTAAATAATCTTCTTGGTGTCCAGCTTGGGACCAGTTTATAGTAAGGAGAGTCTGACTACACATGAGGAAAACCCTGAGTTCATAAACCATGCACTTTATGACACACAAGCTAGGCAGCAATTTCTAGAATTTATTCATGTGAACTATTCAGCTAAAATTTGTGTTTTGGACATCACAAGCAGGCATTTCTAATATTTGCTCTAGAAGTGAAAATTCTTTCAGATAATTCCAATACAAACAAAATTATAATAAAATTTTTCAAAGGTATAATGAAAGAAACCAAGCTTTAAATTTCCCCAAACCCAGATTCAAATTGCATTTATACATTATAGTCATTGTTTCTACCTTGCTGAATCAACACAGCCTAATACTATTGAGTTTCATAAGCTGTAAGTTATACAGCATGTCTGGGATGAATTCTATTCTAACCTCTTAATAAAAATTCTTTCTTCATATTTAAATCGTTGAAGAGAAATTTTGTGCAGCACAGATTTTGGTATATGATGTATATGTTATTGTCTTTAAATTATCTGAACATGTTGTAATTTAAATGGGACACATATGACAATCTCTATGTTTACTATAGCATAGTTTTTTTTTCCATCCAATTAAAACAAGGCAGAAAAGAAAGAACTGAGATTTGAGGTCAATCCAGGCAAAAAGTTTAGTGAGCCTCTCTCTAAAATGTCAGATTTAAATGAGTAAAAAAAAGTGAATTTCAGAGGAGCAAAAGATAGAACTGTGTGTGTGTGCACATGTGTGTGTGCATGTACTCAAGTAGTCTTGGGGGCTTGAATGCAGGACATGGCTGCAGTCCCAGAGGTATTTGTTGTTGTTGTTGTTTGGGGCTGGACCTGGGGATGGAACTCAGGGCTTTGGGTACTGTCCCTAAGTTTTTTGTCCAAGGCTAGCAATGTATCATTTGAGTCAAAGTTCCACTTCTAGATTTTTTGGTAATTTACTGGAGATGAGAATCTCATGGACTTTCCTGCCAGATCTGGCTTCAAATGGTGATCTTTAGATCTCAGCCTCCTGAGTAGCTATGATTAGAAGCATGAGCCATTAGCACTGGCCTGAATTCCTTTTAATGATATTATGGAAGTATGTTTCCTTCTGTGCACACCCCACATTAAGGAGCAGGTGCATTTTCTCAAGTCCTCATTTTAGGAAACACATTACCTTTATCCCCAAAGGAGCATTAACAAGGTTTCTGAGGCTGCTGCACATACTATGTAAACTCCTCATTGCCTGGCAGCCAGGAATCACAACTCTTTGATGTGAGGTTTCTAGGTTTCCCAGACCCTGTCTGCAAAAGGAACCTGGCTTGACAACCTGCCAATCCCAGGCACACATGCTCATTTAAGAACTCTATTTCATCCAAGGATCTAATTTCCTTCATGGCTCCCTTATGCTGCTCTGTACTGCTACCATCTGGGTAAAGATGTTCTCATATGTTCAGGCTTGGTAAGTCACTGGCATTCTGTCTCCTTATTCAAATCCATTTTCTCTGCTTCAAAAAGTGGTGTAAATTCTCCATCGTATTTATTTGATGAAGCTATGAGTGGGTAGAGTTTTCTTTGGACTTTATCACCCCCAGACATCTATTTTGCACTTGTTCACTAGGTTACAATGATTCTTGGGTACCATCCCTAAGCTTTTTGTTTCGTGTACACTTTTAAAGCATATTTAAAGGCATATTAACCTATGAAAAGGTACCTCCTTTTGATTTTTTCATTTTAAAAAATTATTTTAATTTTTTAAAAACATTTTTATTGTAAAAATACTATACAGTTACATGAGCAAGATAATGAGTACATTTCCTATCAAGCATTGTTACCTCCTTTGTTTTTCCCCTACTCTCCCTTCCCTTACACCTCCAAAACTATGCTTCCCTCTCCCCCCATTCCCTTCTCCCAACCTAATTTGTAAAGTTCTTTTTCAACATAGTGTCTTGTATATCTCATTGTTATAATGGGTCAACCTGTATCCCTATTTAAGCATTTTGTTTTTTCCCTTCCCCTCCCTAAGGTAGAGAAGTGTATATACCAGATACAGGACACTGGAAACAAATACAGTCAAAACAGGGGTTATACTGTAGGGGAGGAACATACAAAGAAAAAAAATCACATTGGAAAATTATAAATATGTTAGGAACAACAGTAAGAAAGAAAAAAAACACTTGTGTCCCTATCTTGGGGTTCATTTTGCTTATCATCTTATCTGGTCATATGTACATAGTTTTTTTTTTTTTTACCTTTTCTGCTTGTCCCAGACATATACTAGTTATTGCAAATAAGGGAAACCATAAGACCTATGTTTCTTTGGGCCTGGCTTACTTCACTTAATATAATTTTTTCCAAGTCTTTCCATTTCCTAACAACTGGGGCAATGTCATTCTTTCTGATGGAGGCATAGAATTCCAGTGTGTGTGTGTGTGTGTGTGTGTGTGTGTGTGTGTGTGTGTGTGTGTGTATCACATTTTCTTGATCCATTCATCTACTGAAGGGCATCTGGGTTGGTTCTATATCTTAGCTATGGTAAATAATGCTGCAATAAATATAGTTGTGCTGGTAGCTTTAATATGGTCTTGTTTGTGATCATTTGAGTAAATGCCCAGAAGTAGGACTGCTGGGTCATAGGGGAGCTCTATGGAGAGTGGTTGAACAAGTTTACACTCTCACCAGCAATGCAGTAGGGTTTCCTTCTGGCCACATTCCCTGAAGCATCTGTTGTTATTAGATTTCTTGTTTATAGCCATTCTAACTGGGGTAAGGTGGAATCTCAATGTTGTTTTGCTTTGCATTTCTTTTATGGCTAGAGAGGCTGAGCACTTCTTCATGTATATTGGCCATTCTTATTTCTTCTTCAGAGAAGTTTCTCTTTAAGTCTTTAGCCCACTTGTTTATCAGGCAGTTGTTTTAAGGATTTGTTGTTGGGGGATTTAATTTTTTGAGTTCCAAGTACATTTTAGTTATGAGACCCTTATCCGTTGTATGGCTAGTGAACATCTTCTCCCAGTCCTTTGGCCTTCTATTGATCTTGCTAGCTATGTCCTTTCCCATGCAGAAGCTCTGCAGCTTCATGCAATCCCATTTGTCCAACCTTTCTTTGATTTGTTGTGTTTCTAATGATAAAATTTCAGCATGATATCCAACAAAAATGAATACACAAATTACCAGCTCCTCTGGGACACAGCAAAGGCCGTACTCAGAGGCAATTTCATAGCTCTGAGTTCCTACATCAACAAATTGGAGAGATCTGAAACCAACAATTTAATGAGATATCTGAACCTCCTTGAAAAAGAGCAGCAAATTAAACCCCAATCCAGTAGATGGAAAGAAATAATTAAAATTAAATCAGAATTAAATGAATTAGAATCCAATAAAATCATAGAAAGAATCAACAAAAGAAAGAGATGGTTCTTCAAAAAAATTAACAAAATTGACAGACCCTTAGCAAATCTCATCAGAAAAAGAAGAGAACACACTCAAAAAACAAATTCAGAGATGAGAATGGAAACATCACCACAGAAACAAGCAAGATTCAGAACATTATAAGGGAATACTTCTCAAACTTTTATGCTAATAAGTTTGAGAATCTCAAGAAATGGACGATTTTCTAGCAAATACTGACATGCCAAAACTAAACAAGGAGGGGTTAAACCAACTTAACAGACCCATATCAAGCATTGAAATAGAAACAGCAATAAGAGACCTCCCATAAAAGAAAAGCACAGGAACAATGGATTTACAGCGGAGTTCTACAAGGCCTTCAAAGCAGAGTTCACACCAATATTCCTCCAAATCTTCAATGAAATTGAAAGAGAAAATTCATTACCTCACTTTTCTAAGAAGCCATTGTAACCCTCATCCCAAAACCAGGCAGCGACTCATCAAAGAAAAAGAACTATAGACCCATTTCTTTGATGAACATCAATGCAAAACTTCTCAACAAAACTTTGGGCAATCCACTTCAACAATTCATAAAAAACATCATACACTATGATCAAATAAGATTCATTTCAGAGATGCAAAGTTGGTTCAATATATGCAAATCAATTAATATAACTCATCAAATCAACAAGAGCAAGGATAAGAACCACATGGTTATCTCAACAGATGCAGAAAAAGCATTTGGCAAGATCCAACAACACTTTATGATGAAGGCTCTGGAAACACTAGGAATCCATGGAACATTCCTCAATACAATAAAGGCTGTATATGACAAACCTACAGCCAGCATTATATTTAGAGGAGAAAACTAAAACCATTTTCTCTAAACTCAGGAACAAGACAAGGATGTCCACTCTCTACACTTCTCTTCAATTTAGTATAAGAATGCCTAGCTACAGCATTAAGACAAGATGCAAACATAAAGGGGATCCAAATAGGGAAAGATGAACTAAAACTCTCCATCTTTGTAGAGGACATGATCTTGTATTTAAAGAATCCCACGGACTCCACTCCCAAATTACTTGAGTTGATTGGAGACTTTGGCAAAGTAGCAGGATAAAAAATTAACCCTCAAAAATCAATGGCTTTTCTGTATGCCAACAACGAGAAGAGCACGGCTGAAATCAGGAAAGCAACTCCCTTTGTAATAGCCCATAAAAAATAAAATACCCAGGAATTAACTTAACTAAAGAAGTGAAGGACCTCTATGATGAAAACTTTAAAAACCTGTAAAAGGAAATAAAAGCAGAATTTAGGAAGTGGAAAAACCTCCCATGCTCCTGGATTGGAAGGATCAACATCATGAAAATGGCAATACTTCCCAAGGCTATCTACAAATTCAATGTGATACCTATCAATATTCCAACTTCATTCTTCAATGAAATAGAAGAAGTAATCCAAAAATTCATATGGAACAATAAAAGACCCTGAATAGCAAAAATGATCCTTAACAGAAAGAACAGTGCTGGAGGAATATCAACACCAAATTTCAAACTCTACTACAAAGCCAGAGTAATCAAAACAGCTTGGTACTGGCACAAGAACAGACCTGAGGACCAATGGAATAGAACTGAAAACCCAGAAATGAACCCACAGACCTATAGCCATGTAATCTTTGATAAGGGAGCTAAAAAAAATAGAATGGAAGAAAGACAGCCTCTTCAGTAAATGGTGCTGGTAAAATTGGATAAATGCCTGTAGAAAACTGAAGTTAGATCCTTATATATCACCCTGCACCAGAATCAACTATAAAATGGATCAAAGATCTCAAAGTCAAAGCAGACACACTGAAAACATTACAGGAAGGAATAGGAGAAACCCTTGCCTCTTTTTGATTTTTAACCCAGTCCTTTCCCCCTGACAATTTGCGTCTATCCCCAAAATGCCACCCTGCCTACACAATGCATAATTAATTTTCACTCAAAGTCTTGGTTTGTGGTTTTCTTACAGCTGATGCCTGTTTAGAGAATGCTCCAAACTTCTTCTTGGCCAGAAAGTCTATATGATTTTGGATGGACTCAACATAAGGCTGAAATAAGTTGATGGTACTATAGCATCTGAATTTGATAAAAGGGAGCTTATAAATATAAAATTACGCTTTAATGTTGATTTAAATTCCTAATTTTAATTTCTTATTTCTAGTGTAAAGACCCATTTTTTAAAAGCCACCTTTAAGAAACATCAGTCAGGTACTGGTAGCCCATCTCTGTAATCCCAGCTTCTCAGGAAGCTAAGATCTGAGAATCACAGTTTGAAGTTAGCTGGTACACATTCTATCTCCAATTAATTAGCAAAAATATAGACTGGAGGAGTTGTTCAAATGGTAGTGTACCAGTCCTGAGCAAGAAAACCAAATGAGAGCTTAATATAAGTCCTAGAAGTGGAAAAAGAAATAGAGAGAAAAAGAGAAAGAGGGAGAGGGAGAGATAGAAAGAGGAAATGAAAGAAGAGCATGTATAATATCTCAATAGATTATAAGTTAGAAATGTATATAGACCAACACAAGAGAATATGGTATTTACCTGAAGTCATGTGAAGTATAGTCTTTGACTGACACTCCAGACTGGGAAGAAGAGAAGTAACGGCACAGGCCATTTTGAGCTTTAAATGGGTATTCAGAGTCTTCCACTAGCTTCACCTGAGTCTACAAGAAAACAGTGCTCCAATGTCTTCAGTGTCAGTTGGTTTAAAATTTCAATAGAACTTACTTTTTTCCCTCACTGTCATGTGGGCAGGAGTTGTTAAATTAAGACTTTAGTCTTGTAATAGACTTCCTAGCCAACTATAGTTAGTATCTTGCTTTGACTACAATTTTTCTTATGCCTTTCTTTCTTAGACTTACGCTGCAAAAGACCATTGATCATCTTACTCCTGAGGGTGTGACCATCACAGACTTCCCCAGGATTTCTACCTATGTGTCAGCTACTACAATGATCTCTATATAGTCAATGGCTAACTCATACATGGCATTTGAACTTAGGGCCTCCACTTGTCTGGTACAGTGCCAGTGAGCCACACTTCTAGCCCCATTTTTCACTGGTTATGTACAAAATATAATCAGTGCAATCTAGGATGCAAGCCTGCTCCATGATCTGCCTACTTTAGGCTTCCATGGTAGCTGGTGTACAGGAACACACCATCGAGTCTATCTTGCCTCTGTAGAGATGAGATCTTGTCAACTTTTCTGCCTAGGCTGGCCTGATACATAGATCCTCCTAATCTCAGTCTCTTATGTAGTCTGAGATAGCAGGAGTGCACCCTTGCATACAGTTATGGGTTGAGAAGGGGCTTTGTCTGGTGAGCTTTCTGCCCAGACTTATCTTGAACTTTGATCTCTCATTCTCAGCTAGAATTATGGATAGCACCAACAGTGCCCATCTTAGGCCACTCATACTGATACCATGTCTGTTCAGAAAATAGATCTCAGATAAGAATCTTCACCATTGGCTATTCTATGGTGAAGCTCTATGCTTGGAAGCCATTCCTTCTGAAACCTTCTAACTAATTCCCTCCCAATTTGGCCATTTAACTTTCTAAAGTTGAAAACAGTGGAGTTTGTGAGAATAACTGAACTGTGAACTCACATAAAGAAGCTAAGAGACCAGGAATTAAGGGCTGAGAAGCAGTCACCTTGTTTAGCCATCTCAAAGCATTGAGTGGAGAGCCTCCTCCACAGCCATCATCCTTATAGGAGCAATCGAGGACCTGCTGCACGCTGAGGACTTCCAAGGGCTCCCCTTGTATGGCATGTGCAGACTCCACGGCACCCACCACGCTGAAGGCCCAGCACCCTCCGCACTGTGTGAGAACAAAGTTGAGGAGGGTAATACTGACTACTATACAGTGTGTTACATCAAACTGACCAATGGTTCTAAATAGGCCAAGTGATGAAATCTAGCAACGTTTCTAAGAGCTGGAATCTACCCAACTATGCATCTCCATTGTCTAACTTTGCCAACTGAAATGTAAAAAAATGAAACCAAAATTCTCTTTGAAACAAGGGCATCTAATTATTTTTAAGATTCAATCAGTAAAGTCACTAGCCTAAGTTAAGTAACACAGGGTAAAGTTAATGATCCAGAACTAATAACATTTGAACAACTGATGACACTTGGAGAGGAGTTGGTTCATTGAGCATATGACTTCTCTAAGTGGATTCTCTACTGGAGATTGCACACTGACTTCCACAGATGGATTGGTATACCAATGGACCATGATGCTAGTGTGTACCTACTAAGTGTGTCTATCACACATGCACTGCATATGTCCCAAGAAAGAATAGTGCTCCCCAAATACTGCTGAGTCATTACTGATTGCGGATCTATAATCAGGTTCCTATTTAAAAGAGAAGAATAGGGTAAAAAGACTTATTCTAAAAAGAATAGAAGAGACAGAGGGAGTGGCATTAGAGAGGGCAAAAGGAAGCAAGATCCTTAAAAAAGGCACATCTGAAAACAGACAAAAATCCTTAAAGTCTCAGCCTCCTGAATATCTAGGTTGTCCAGCCATGGATGTACTTTGTGGTGTGTGTATGTTGATTTTGGAGCTTGAACTGAGGACCTGGGCACTGTCCATGGACTTTTGTGCTTAAGGCTAACGCTCTACCACTTGAATCCCACTTCTGAAATTTTTGGTGTTTAATTGGAGATGAGTTTCACAGACTTTACTGTCTGGGCTGGCTTTGAACCACAATCCTCAGACCTCAGCTTCCCGAGGATTACAGGTGTGAGCCACCTGTGTCCAGGCTGAATGTACTTTTAAGAATCACAAGGTGAGAATAGGGGTGGCTTTATTGATGGAGCAACTGTATGGGGTACAGTAGAGAACAGAGGATACCTGTCTGCATCAATGGCAAATGTAGGCATGCAGCTTAATCATTCACTTTTTGAATTATGTAACAGTAAGTGTTCCCCTTCTCCAGCTCAACACATGTGATTCTACAGGAAGCTCAGTACCTGTGGTACAGCTGCTGGGACATATCCCTGAGTTAGTGTGCTAGGGGCAACTGCAATTAGTGAGTGAATACAACAAAGAAGATTGATGGTGAGGAATAAAAGTTAGGTTTGCCATCTGCATCTCATTCCTCAAAGATTCTCCCTTCATTATCATTTTTCATGACTGATGTGTGCTTTTTACCTAGAAGAAAATGATGAGTCTCATTACATGTTTGATAGCACTTGACCTCTAAGGTATTTTCCAATGTTAGATGATTAAGAGAAATCAAACGTGAGCTCACCATCTGCTGGCTTCTCACTTGCGTGACAACATGCTTGTCTCTCCAATCAAATCTCAGTGGCAAGGGAACGTTGGGGATGGGCTTGTACATTTCTGTGGGTTGTCTGGGAAACATGGCAGGTTTGCTCCTTAAATAGATAGCTGAGTGGAAACAGGAAAGGAAGATACAACAGGGAGTATATTAGAAGGAGGGCCCCTAGGAACTCTTTCTGGAGCATATTCTAACAGAAAAGGCAGCTATTTGGGAAACCTGCCAGGTGAAGCTTCCCCTGTGCTGTTCTGCAACATGGAACATATTCACTGAAGACCACAGAATTCCTGCCACAAGGTGGAGCTGACCCATAAAATGACCCATTTGATAAAATCAGGTCAACAATAGAACTGTAATTCCTTCCATCCTTCCCTCCCTCCTTCCCTCCCTCCCTTTCTTCCTCCCTCCTTCCCTTCCTTCCTTCCTTCCTTCTTTCTTTCCTTCCTTCCTTCTTCCTTCCTTCTCTCTCTCCCTTCTTCCCTCCTTCTTTATTTTCTTCCTTACCTTCTCTTTCTTTGCTCATTCTTCCTGGGCAAGTTCTTTGCCTCTTGAGCCACATGCTAGGTCTTTTTGCTTTGTGTTTGGGCCAGCCTCTTACTGCAGTCTTCCTACCTCTACCTCCAGTAGAAAGGATTACAGATATAAGCCTCTATGCCTTGCTTGTTCTTTGGTTTGGATCTCCTTTGTTGTATAAGCCTTGAACTTTGATCTTCTCATCTCTACCTGTTTTGTGGCTGGGCATGCTCTGCCACACCTGGTTCTTTAATATCCTTTCTTTCATCATAATCTAAAAAACTCTAAGTGTCCTGAATAGAAATTGTATCACAAAACTGTAGAAGCCAAGAGACAATTGTTCTCTATAGTTACATAGCCTTGTGTGTAACATGTTAGTTCCTAAGCAGTTACTTTCAAAGTGTTGGGAATTTATTTTTCTTATGGTTAGTACTTGAACATGAAAAATAATGCATAAATACGTAATAAATACGAACTATTATTAATTTACCAGATTTGAAATTAAAGTATCATTCAAAAACTCAGCAAAGATGTCAAGAAGCAGGAAATCAAACATTCCAGAGTGCCATAAGAACATACCTTTAAACTCTTCAGGGAACAAATAAGAAAACTGATTTACTCCATAGAAGGCAGTGGTGTTCTCCCAAGGAGAAGAATTCAAGAATCGATGTCTACGAAGACTTTCCTAAACAACAACAACAAGAAGGTATTTTATGTCTAAAGCAATCTCTGGGTGAATAATATGGAGATGTTTTCAGGTACAAAAGTAAAAGCTTGGTTTATTTCCTTCATATTATAACTAAATATTGTATAAGAAATCTGTATCTGATTTATAAACATTTTGTTTTTAGAATTATTAGCCATATCTGATTTATAAACACTTTGGTTTTAGAATTATCAGCCATATCTGGACTGTGGTGGTGTATGCATGTAAGCCTAGCTACTCACGAGGCTGAAACACTTTTTGTAGCACTGAGGACCTAAGCCAGCAAAAGCTGTACCACTTAGCTACCCCTCCAGCCTTAGCAGTGCTAAAACTCTAAGCATTGTAGGTTCATAGAAATGCTGGCTGGGAGACAGGGGGGCAAAATTTCCCTATACGCTTTTAAAAGTCTTTTTTTGGGGGGGGGGTCTGATTGTGGGGTCTGAACTCTGGGCCTGGGCACTGTTCCTCAGCTCTTCAGCTCAAGGCTAGCGCTCTACCACTTGAGCTATAGCACCACTTCCGGCTTTTTCATTTAGCTTATGTGGTGCTGAGGAATCGAACCCAGGGCCTCATGCATGCAAGGCAAGCGCTCTACTGAGCCACCTTCCCAGCCCCTTTTAAAAGTCTTAAGGCAGATAGATCTTCCTAGACCACGTTTTTTTGTAATCTTATTAGAAACAAAACCTAAAACACTGCCACTCTGAGTTAGCACAGTTCCATCCATAAAAGCTAAATATATTTAGAGAGAAACAAATTTATATATGCTCATGTTCTCAGTGAGATTCCATGTACTTCTTAATAGCATTGTCATAGGAATGTCATCTGATTTTTAAGTGAAGTAGTTTCAGTAACTTAATAAAGGAAGATACCATGTTTCTATTTTAAATACTAATGTCCTTAATTTTCAGTGATGATTCCAATAACACTGCTTGATTTGGGTCTTGCACATGTGCTTCTGAAGGAACCCTACTCTCTACCACTCCCTATCTGCAGCTGTTCTTTCATTGATGTGAGCCATGCAAGTATTTGCCATCTTCATGGAAACACTGCTCACTTCTGCTTGGTCCATCAGAGGTCAACTAGAACAAATTTCATGTACCCAGTCTTGTTTATCACTCGAGCAAATATCCCTGCCCTTTTGTGGCTCTCTGCAGGCCATGCCAGGTAGGCATAATGCAGGCATTTGCCAAGAACATAAAACTCTGAAGTTATTGCTGTCTCCCTCCCACCAATTCCTACTCCATCCTCTTGACTTTCAAGACAATAACATGCTGGAAGTATGTCCCTATACTAAAACATAATTCCATTACAGCCTCTCTGTCTCTCTTTTCCATTCTCTCTCTCCCCCCTCTCACTCTCACACAAACACACACACACACACACACACACACACACACACACAATGCCCCCATTTGGGTGGATTTCTTACAAACTATATCTTCCTTTGTGTTTAACCATAGAACATCTGGAGTCTAGAACCTATCATTCAAAGATCATAACTCTCATGTTTACTGGGGTTAAAGCAGAGCCAATATCTCTCCTAGTATTAGAAATAAAGACTACTTCCTTATTAAAAGCTTTCATATTAAAATTCTATCATGACTGCAATCCAATAATGAGCTATTCTCCGGTATTCTGCAACAATTCAAATTCACCATAACCTCGATTCATTTCCATGTTCCTTTTCTCTGTCTCCCTTGCCCCCTTGTATTGGGGTTTGGACTTGGGGCCTTACATAGCCACATCTCCAGCTCTAGTTCTGTACTGGCTAAATTGGAGATACCATATTGTGTACTTTTATGTCCAGGCTAGTCTCAACATGTTCCTCCAGATCTCAATCCCCTTAGAAGCTAGGATTCCAAGCATGACTCATTGGCACCTGGATTCTTCTTGTTCTTTAATTTTCTGTTTCTTCAAGTGCATCTCCTGGCTGCCCTCAATTCTTGAAGTGGATGGCAAGCAGCACAGGCTGCAATGAACCACTTGTACTGGGAGATGAATAGTAGGCATAAAGATCAATTAACACATGTTCCTAACATGGCACACTAGAGGACCTGATGATATGCAGTGTGTAATAACCACCTCCAATGACAAATGAAACACTTGACTGAGAGGCACGAACCTTTAAAATAATTTTTGTTTTGATATTTGGTGCTGAGGATTGTACCCAGGGCCTTATGCATGCTGAGCATACTAAGAGGAGGATGGAGACATTTGTGGAACATGCAGGGCACTTCTAATTAATTCAGTTTTGAAAGGTGAGGAAGTTAGAAGTTAAAATGTCAGGTGTATCATACATAAAGAAATGACAGCTGGCAATAATGAAGAATAGTCTTTGAAAGAAATGGATTTCCCAGCTTCCTGCCTGCTGGGCAACTTAACCTGAAGATCTTGAAGGTATTTTCTTATGATTACAAAACAAGGGGAAACTTGTGCTATTGATATTAATAGATACTGTGCATACTAAAATCTCTCTAATCAACATTATGTCCTAAGATTCTGATCCTACAATCGGCCCTTCTGAGAGTAATTCTGAGAGCCATCCTGAAATTTTAGTTCTTAGGATGGCTTTCAGGTTGGAGTTGCTTGTGTGTGTGTGTGTGTGTGTGTGTGTGTGTGTGTGTGTGTAGTACACAGGCCCTGAAAACCATTTCATATCAAACTTAATTTGTGAGATACTGCTAAGCAGTCTCCATGGTATTCTAATTTGCTGCTTAGCTAGAAGGTTTCATAACAATTGGAAATTCTTACCAATGAAGTATCAATAACAATGCTTGCTGCTAAGCACTCTGCTAATAATAGGGTGGAGGAGGCAGCAAATTACCCATTGTGTTACTGATGCAAAGCGTCTTCTCCACCATTTGGGGTCATTTGTTATAATTATGAGGAGCTGGACATGGTAGCACACATCTGTAGTCTCAGAACATAGGAGGGAGGCTGAAGCTGAAGGATCTCAAGTTCAGGCCAGTCTGAACCAGCAAGATGCTGGCTCAAAACAAAACATAGAACCAAAACACAAAACTAAAAACAATGCGATGATAGTCTATATATGCATAAGCAATAATGCCTAAAGGATGAAGAATATAATAAAGATAATCTGAGCAGTATTCTTAAGATAAGTAAAACCTTAAGAATATGTGCAAAATCACATGCATAATGGCATCTAACATTATCTTTGATTTATTATTTTTGGTGACACTGGGGTTTGAGCTCAACATCTTGTACTTGTGAGGAAGGTATTCTACCATGTGAGTCATGCTTTCAATCCATATACTTTGGGTAATTTTTCAGGTAGGATTTTGTTTTGTGTTCAGGCTGTCTCTACACTATGATCTTCATTCTATGCCAGCATCTCATTCTTCTAATTGTTATGGTTACCAAAAAAAGCAAGGCCCCTCCATCTTTTTCTGAATCCCTCTACCCCAGATGGACAGCTTAAGAGATGTTCGTAATTTCTGGCAAGCCTAAACACTCCCCTCAACAAGGAACTCCTACCAGCAGTAACTGCCTGGAAAACTTCTTCAGTAGTTCTCAACCCAGCCTCCAACATACACTAAGCTTTTAAATGTTGCCCTTTACTAATTGACTTTCCAAACTGGATCCTTGTATTCTCCTGAGAAAACTTTTATTTGCAATCTTTGTGTCTCCTGGCTAGAAGCTTACACAGGACCAATAGTAGTAAATACATACATACACACACACACACACACACACACACACACACACACACACACACAACCAAATACTATTTAAAATACATTCATGACTTTCCTTCTTGATCCTACAACTCTCAAAAAATTATCTGAGAAGTATGATCATATGTTTCCTTAGCTAATGAATACACTACTAACATAGGTGACATAAATGGGGTGAGGTGCCACCTCAGAACATTTAACCAAGCTTAGAACAGGGAACAACATAGACCAGAAAATTCATTCTCCTGTGACTGTAGTAGTGTTTCCAGGTTTTTGAGGGGTTTGGTGGGTTTTGGTTTTTGGTGCCAGTACTAGGGCCATGATTCCCAGATCCCAGCCTCCCAAGTAGCTAGGATTACAGGCGTGAGCCATCTGCACCTAGCTTTACTTATGGTTTTGAAATCTAGGACTGAGATCACGGTACTAACCTGGAGATAAAATATCACACCACTGTTTAAGCAAAAACCGAGAGTAGGCGGAATCAGGAAGGGCTGGACTTCCTCCTAATCCATGCAGCTCTTCATGGAAGGTAGAATGAGAACTGCAGTTACAGAAATCCCAGGGGACAATCGCAGACACTTCCAAAGAGCCACACTATTGAGCTGAATTATTTTTCATCGCGAAAGTGAATTTTCCTTTGTAATAAAGTCATGAACATGATACCGTTTTAAGATTAAAAAAGTGTTACATGGGATGATCTTAGGAACAGAGTGAGAAAATATGAATGGATCACTCTTGCAGTCCCTTGGTTCTGGGAAATCTCTTAAACTCAGCTAATGGATCCCTTCCAGAGTTTTCAGGCTGGAGTAAATTCGAAGTATCATTATAACAACTTCCCTAAACGGCAATTATAAGCTTATTTTAGTTCTAAATCAGTGTCCACCAAGTCACAAAGAACTTTAGGAGGGTGCGCAGAGAGGGCTCCTGGGAAGAACATATTAGCATCAGGACCATCTCCCTGAACTAGGAAATCATTGTCCACCAAGTCACAAAGAACTTTAGGAGGGTGCGCAGAAAGGGCTCCTGGGAAGAACATACTAGCATCAGGACCATCTCCCTGAACTAAGCTTTGTGCATAAAGATGGATGATCTACCGCCCCCTGCTGGCAGCAAAACGAACAACAGGTTTTCCCCAGCTCACCTCCCAACTCCTGCCCTCCCCCACCCCCCCAGGAAGGGACTGGGCAGGGGGGAGAGGGGGTCTCCCAAGGACCGCGCAGAGGGGCGCTTCTTCCCATCAGCAGCACTCCGGTCACAGCCAGTGGCTGCTTGGGGTGCACCGCACAAATCTCGGGGTGGCAAAGGTGCGGGAACGGAGGAATCTGGGAAGAGCTGGCCCTGGAGCCGCCAGGGCCGCGCACAGCGCGCACTCGGGGTCCCCTCCCCACCCGTCCCGGACAGGAAGGGAGAGACTCCAGGAAGATCGAGGTACCCGGAAGGCGGCTGCGTCTCTCCCGCGGCTCCTAGACCAGGTCGGGGTGACCGTGGATCCCGGGTCAGCGGCCTCAAGAGCGAGGCAGCAGCAGCTCAGAAGCCAGAGCCTCCAGGGCGCGCGCTCCATACCGGCGCCGCGGGTCCTCCTCCGCCCGCTTTCTCTTTCGCTACCGGGGCTCCGCCCCGTGCCGGGGCGGGAGTGCTCCGTCCCTGGCCACCCCTGTGGATCCCCAGAGCTGAACGCTGGCGGTTCTGCTCTTTTTGACTTGAGAAAGGCTTTTGGTTAGTTGGAAATGTGCACTTGATGCACTTAGTGGTCTCCCTAAGAAGTGAGGGGGAAAAATAAAACAAGGAGGGGGCGGGGAGGTGGAAACCTAGGAGACAGGCTTTATGCATTAACCTGAAAACCCAAACTGCTCTGTGTCTGCACTTCCAGAATTCACCCTGTTATTCTTTTTATCTCAAATGAGAAGATTGGTTCAGTCCGTTGATTTGAACTTGGGCTTCATTGTGTCCTTTCTTTCTGGATGTGAAGTAATGTTGAGTACCCCAAATAATGTGTGCAAATCTATTTGTAAATGTGTGAAATTGTAAACATGTGAAGCAAATTATTATAGGTGTGACAGTTGTGAAAATCTAGTTTCCTCATCTGTAATACTGTGGTCAAATCGCCATCTGCAAGAAGGATGGAATTAGCCCACTCACTTCCTGATTGTGTAAAGTTTAATTACATCCATCCACATCAAAACTGATTTTAAGGGCTGGGAAGGTGGCTCAGTGGTAGAGCACTTGCCTTGCATGCATGAGGCCCTGGGTTCGCTTCCTCATCCTTAGCACCACATAAGCAAAAAGAACAAAACTGATTTTACCGGGTGCACATTTTAAGTGCTGTAGCTATTTGTTTTTTTGTTGTTGTTGTTAGGTAGCATTTTTTGTGTGTGTATGCCAATCTTGAGGCTTGATTGTCCCTGAGCTATTTTACTTAGGGCTAGAGCTCTACCACTTGAGATACAGCTCTACTTCCAGCATTTTTGGTACTCATTTGGAAATAAGAGTCACATGGCTTTTTCCTGCCCCTGCTGGCTTGGAACCTTTTGAGTCTCAGATCTCAGCCTCCTTAGTAGCTAGGATAACAAGTGTGAGCCACTGGCTCTCAGCAGGTAGCTTTTTATATTTTATATGTAATTATATTGCCTTCTTTATACTTGGCTTACTTCATTTATCAAGTTTTTCTCTCTTTGTATGTATGTATGTATTTATGCTGATATTGGGGCTTGAAGTTAGGACCCCTCACACTTGCTTGGCTTATTCTTTCAAGAGCAGGCTCTCTACTACTCAAGCCACAGTTCCATGTTTTTTGCTGGGTAATTGGAAATAAGAGCCTCATGGACTTTTCTGCCCCTGTTAGTTTCTACTGATGATCCTTAAATCTCAGCTTCCTTCTGGTAGCTAGGATGGCATCAACCTTCAGTGCCTAGCTTCTTTTTTTTTTCCGTGCTATTTTATTCCATATGCCTTCAACATGAGAATATGGATCTGAGCAAACAGGAGGAAAAAATGTTCTAATCACATAACACACTAATTTACCAATATCTTAGGTTAAAGAAGTTCTGGTGGACTGCGTGTTGGAACTTTAAGGATTCTGGATGGCATCACAAATCCCTTACCTTCAGTCATGGGTGATTCTCCCACAATGCAGCAGCTCCTCAGAATGAAGTGTGTACTGGAAGCACATTTCCTGCTTCCATAGTGAGGATGAGAATCTCCAAAAGGGTATATGTGTTAAAAAGTGGGAGTCTAGGGGCTGGGAAGGTGGCTCAGTGGTAGAGTGCTTGCCTTACATGCATGAGGCCCTGGGTTCAATTCCTCAGCACCACATAAGCAGGAAAAAGCCAGAAGTGGCGCTGTGGCTGGAGTGGTAGAACGCTAGCCTTGAGCTGAAGAGCTGAGGGAAAGCGCCCAGTCCCAGAGTTCAGGCCCCACGACCAACAACAACAACAACAAAAAGTAGGAGTCTAGTGTTGGAAGTGGTGGGATCTATGGAAAGTGAGCCTAAGATGAGGTCCTTGGATCAGTATCTGTGTAGCCTTGAAGGAGGCTGAGTGACCTCAGCCCCTGCTCTCAGCTTCCTGGCTCATAAAGGTGCTATTTATTCTGCTACACACTTTGTGTGATGTTCTGTTCCCACCGAAAGTACAGAACAGGCTTATCCCACCATTTTCAGGAACCTACAGAAATGTGAGCCAAAATGAATCTTTTCTCTTTGTACATTATCTGTCTTTGTGTTATCTATTTTATTATAGGGATGAGAAAGTCAGCCAATACAGCTTGATTACCCAACTCAGAGAAGCATCTGTTTGTCCTTGGGCAGTGAGAGATACTCAGGTGATTTGGATCAGTGATATTATCTTTTCTGAGCTTCTGGGCTGGTTACATAATTTTAAGGGACCAGTGTAAAATGAAATAGAGGTCACTTGTCCCTAGAGTATTATGAATTTCAAGATGGTAACATAAAAGCCTTAATACACCATGATGGGCCTTTCTAATCACCGGCTCCTGCTCAAATGCCTAATTGGCTGGCTCTTTTTACCATAGTACATTTTAACTAAGGGTTCCAGATACCTATGCAATTGATGTCTTAGATATTTGGAACTAACATTAATTTATATCTCCATTTTACTAGGAGGAGTATGTAAGTACTCTTGATATAAAATTTGTAGGAAAAAGAGCATGCATACCTGCTCTGAGTAGTGAGAAAAAAAAGGGAGTCTGTTTGCATGCATCTTTGAGACACATTTGCTCTCAGAAAACATAGTGACATGAATTCCATTTATGTAACCACACAGACCATGTTCATGTTCACTTTAGGAAGTCTTTTACACCTGAATCTTCCTTCTTCAAGCCCATTCATTCTTTTTTATAGACCAAGATTGGCCTTCCGATTATGGCTCCTTTTTATTGGCACTCATGAGTTGGAATATTTATATATAATCAGTCATCTTTTTGCCATAATCATTGGTATCATAAACCCCAAAAGCTATTTGAACTTAACTTTCCTCATAAACCCATACGAACAACATTTACTCTGTTGAGCCACTGGTGATTTCAACACTACTACTAGCTACTCGAGAGGCTGAGATCTAAGGTTCATGATTCAAACCAAACCTGGGCAGACAAACAGATAAGATAATTAACCAACAGAAAGCCAGAAGGGGAAGTATGGCTCAAGTGGCAGAGCATCAGCCTTGATAAAAAAGCCAAGCAAAAGCATGAGGCCATGAGTTCCAGCCTCAGTACAAAGAAAGTCAAAAACAACCAAACAAACCCAATATATATTGAGTTCCTACTATTTGATGGGTTCATGAGGGGCTAGAGATGGAATGCCAAAATTGGCATTACAGGAAAAGGATACTGTTTAAGATAAGGAGACTGGGGAATGTGAAGGAAAGGAGTGGGGTGAGAGCTGCAGGGCGGGCATTTGTGATGAGGGGACAGGGGAGCACAGATCTCCAGTAGAAGGGAGAGAGTCCTGTGGCTGTGTAGATATCTGCAGGTGGTAATTTCCTATAGAAGGAATGGTGGCCCATATCCTCGGAATGCAAGTGTACTTAGTACCTCATGAAGAGAGAGACATCAAATATGGAGAATGTGGAGGGGAAAAACAGGCCTGCGAGCTGAGATGACAAGCACATACATCATAGAGACCTTTATGATGAGTCATTTAAGAGAACTAGTTATTAGGTAATTTTAAAAACCACCACAATTTTAAGTGCCTTGAAAAGACTTTCATGTGGAAAAATAGAAGTTACAGGTATCTGATCATTCTGAACTATTACATGCATCACTATAGGGAGGATATAATTTTGCCCATCAAATTTGCAAAATACGCAGGATAGGGAGGATTAACATCATGAAAATGGCAATACTTCCAAATGCTATCTACAAATTCAATGTGATACCTATCAATATCCCAACCTCATTCTTCAATGAAATAGAAGAAACACCCCTGAAATTCACATGGAACAATAAAAGACTCGAATAGCAAAAACAATTCTTTTTTATGATACTCAAAGCAGATCATCCTCCCACTGAACTTGCTTGGGAGGAGGGTCATAAAGTCCCCAGGAAGGAAGAGCTTCATTCTGCCTGCTCAAACAAACTGATTTAAGAAACCAATCAAGCCACAGGCAAACAAACACCACAAGCAAAACAGAGACTCCCATTAAGAAACTGGTTACAGACACAGGGGAGACACAAGATCCTCCCCCATCCCCCCGAAACAATCAAAGAACTCTTTTTTTCTGCCTAATTTTTAATTTAAAATTCTTTTCTGTATTTTTCATCATTTTTAAAAAATATATCTTTTTATTGTAAAAATACTGTACAGACAGGTTACAGGTAAATGAGTAGGGTAATGAGAACATTTCCTATTGAGCATTGTTACCTCCTCCTTTGTTTTTCCCCTACCATCCCTTCCCTCCCCACCACCCCAGTCCTTCCCTCCCCCCCCCTGACATTGTAAAGTTCATTTTCAACATAATATCCTGTACATCTCATCATCACAATGGATCAACTTGCATCCTTTTAAGCATCCCACTATATTCCTTCCCCTCCCCAAATTACAAAAATGTAACATACAATAGAAACAAAAGAATCACATAACGCATTGTAAGTACATTAAAAACAGTAGAAACAAAGGAAAAAAAACAACACTTGTTTCCTGTCTTGGGGTACATTTCACTTAACATCATCATATATGATCATATGTACATAGCCTTTGACCTATTGTGCTTATCCTAGACATGTACTAGTCATTGCAAACAAGGAAAACTATTGGAGCTATGTTTCTTTGGGCCTGGCTTACTTCACTTAATGTAATTTTTTCTAAGTCTTTCAATTTCCTAACAAATGGGGCAATGCCATTTTTTCTGATGGAGGCATAGAATTCCATTGTACCTATATACCACATTTACTTGATCCATTTATCTACTGAGGGGCATCTGGGTTGGTTCCATATCTTAGCTATGGTGAATAATGCTTTGATAAACGTGGTTGTGCTGGTAGCTTTAGTATGACTTAGTTTGTGATCATTTTGGTAAATGCCCAAAAGTGGGATTGCTGGGTCATAGGAGAGCCCTATGTGGA